CCTGTATTAAGAAAATTATCTAATAAACCTACTTAATTTGAAAAAGTGTGTTATACTAACGCCCGTATTCACATTTCAACAAACGATGCTTGCTTAAGTGAAAAGCACAGCGTTGAATAGAGCTCTGTGATTGGTTCGTTGTCATTCTGTGCGTCCACGCGCAGTGTGAAACCTCATAGTAATGTTTTGTGAATACGGGCGTAAATAATTTGGTGAAGTTTATCAAAAAGCTTTTCGGTTTAGCAAAATAGTAGTAACGGGACCATTCCCACCTCTCGTTCCCACCGCTGCAACTCCTGTGTAGCCAGGATCTACAGCTTCAAATATTAAGTTTAACGCAGTAAGCCTGCTTGGTTACCAACCTCCATTGTGCATATTACACAACAAAATGTGCACGAAATTGTGCTACAATGTGCCCAATACCTCGAGTGCACATTGCACTTACTTATTACAATAAAGGGAAAGTGGTCCGTACATCTGTCTGTCACTGCCATGTCGCTTTCGCTTTTTATTACATTTTAACTGGACAAAGATAAGGTTTGTATTTTGCATAATAATTTACTACAAGCTATTATTTTTATGAATAAATGTAATAAATGTTTGATCGAATGTGGGTGGTCTTTTTCTTGGGTTAATACTTCTTACAATTAAATTGACTTTGCTAAACCGTGCCTATTAGCCCATTGCTGCATTGCAATGTAATGTTTAATGCATTCATGTTTTTTTAAAGTAACTGCCTAGAGAAAATAGAGTTAAAATACTATAATTGTTATCAATCAAGAAATGCGTGTGTGTATATGTATGTAATAACATACAGCCACAAATAATTTAGGTATGTGGCTCTATGTTATTACTACATGCCATCCTTTCTATAATTTCTTGATTAATAATACAGCTCATAAAGTTGATAATATTTACTTTCAGGAAAATTTGGGGACGTACCTAGGTACTACTTATTCAGTTTGTTTCGATCATTGTGGAAATATTTGGGGTAGGCCTTTGTCTAGCAGTGGACGTCATTCGGCTGAAACGAATGATTCAGTTTGTGACGTGACGTCAGAAAACCTCTACCAATAACAACAAGAGTGACGTCAACGGTAATGTTTGATTTCTTTATATTTGTATTGTATTTTTCTTGTGTTAAATTACATATTTTTATTATAATTATTTCGATTCTATAGAAAAGGTTTTAATTAAAATCTACAACTTTATGAAAAACCAGAAATGACAACAAAACATCTAAATTTTTTCTCAGTCAAAAACTAATCGAGTTCTTTTGTTCACACAAAGTTCACTGCCCTCAACTCAAGAACATCAACATCTCGATTGTCGCGCCCAAATCGAGAAGTGCCTCTCTCGGCGGCAATACATAAAAATAGTGCTGACTGAGATCTCCGCTGTGATTGGCCGCGCATGGGGGGGCGGGGCCGCAGCATCCAATCCTGCGCATCTCGCGGGATGGGGTGTCGCAATGATTTGGCCCCGAGATTGCGGGAGTTTGGGGTGCATTATGTAGGTACCTATGTATTAAGGGAGAGGGCAATACCTACTGTTGGGTACATCTCTGATTTGATGTAAGAGAAACGCTGAAAATTTTAGATAAATAAAACTTGTTTCAAAATGATGGCATAAGAAAGAAAAGATTTTTCCCTTCAAAATAAGTAGGAAGGAAAGATGAAGACAACTGAAAGTGAATTGATAATACGAACCTGCCTAAGTTACTATCGGCCGAATACTGAAACACTACTCAAATCTGTCACTCAGCTGACGGGCTCCTAAATTTAAGTATCCTTCAATTTTAAATGGTATTCTCAAACGCTACTCAACGGATTTGAAGCCGTGATCAGCTAAGCAGCTCTCAAATGTTTACATAATGGCAACATTTACCAAAAAAAGTATGTTTTCATTTACACAAATGATAACTTTACGTCTTTTATCCATTACACGCAGCATCGTTTGGTTATGTATTGTCTTTTATGGAAATATACTCAATCAACTTAACATAGAACAGTTTACTTTTAGTTTCTATTATATATAAATTTCGTTTTATCATATAAAAATAATAGGATTTAAGATACCGCGCAAGCACTCTCAAATTTAACAGCTGCTTAAGACGATTTGACAGTTGTTTGAGTAATGCTTAGCGTTGAATGGCGTTTCAGTATGCGAAAATTCATTTAAGTGGCGTTTGAGTGCAACTTAATTTGAGAGGTGCTTAAAAATTGAGAACTGCTCAGATATTGTTTTGAGTATGCGAAATGTAAGTTTAGGAGCTGCTTAACTATTTGAGAAGCCGTCAAATATTTAAATGGCGTTTCAGTATTCGGCCGTTTGTCTGTATTAATTAATTAGAAACTGTTAATTAGCTATACCTACTTATTTATTGCTTTTACTTTACATCTTAGATACGGTTAACTGAACCGAAAACCGTATACCTATTTAAATACCTAATTCAATGGACTTTTGAAACGGCCAATAATATTTTCAGTTTTCAACTTACGCCCGTATTCACAAATGATTCTTGCTTAAGTGAAGCAGCGAATCAAATCGAACGCACAGCGCGCAGCGTTGAATAGAGCTCGTGTGTTACGGCGCACTGTGAGACCTCATAGTAACGTTTGTGATACAGGCGTTAATTTAGTAGGTAAATATCGCCTTTCCAAAGACAGCAATGTGTAAAAAAATCTGGAACTTAGAATTCTATGAAGTGCAAAAAAACTCTTATCTGTAATCTTTCCAAGGGCCCAAAAGACCGCATAATATCAAGCTTGCTAGTTACAAGTGTCAATCAACCCGATCATTCCTAATGTAATGAGTTTAAGAGACTTTCCACTTCAGCTTTTTCCTTTAAGATTTGTATTTACTTAGATAGAGTAAGGTAATTTCAATCCACAAAGACTAAAAAGGAAAAATGCAACTCTTATCACAACTATCTTCTCCCTGAGTTGTCTGGAAGAGATCTCTTTCTAACGAGAAGACCGCCTAAATTGTGGTGTTTTAACTATAAAACTAATAACTATTATCAGGTTTGTGTTGCGTAGACAAATCCATAAGTCATTATAAAGATGCATGCATGATCCATTGCATTCAATGATTCAACCCAGTTTGGAAAAATTTGGTACATAAAAATACATTTTAGGCGAAAATAAACTATCTACTACTGCCATCTATGTTATGATAATTACATTAAAATTCTGAGAAAATTAAGTATTTCTACTCACCGCTAGATGTCGTGATAGATAGTAACTTGTTATTTTACTCACCGCTAGATGGTACTACATACCATACATATTAATTATTCACTAGATGGCAGTACTGTCGAGAAATTTACCCTATTTATTTTTATACCCATTCATTCATTCGTTCGTTCCGATCGATTTATCTATGGCACAGATATGGATAGATGCAGCATGTGTCAAAAATTGTATGAAGCCGAGCACAGATATGGATAGATGCAGCATGTGTCAAAAATTGTATGAAGCCGAGCGTGCCACTTTTTAAACGTCATTAGTGTCATTTTAGCGAATTTTAGTGATTGCCGCAACGTAAAAGTAATCGTATCATCGTACTGCATTTGCAAAGTCATCGAATGATATCGTGCGACTCGATTCGAAAATTAATTAATTCCGATAAAACTGATAATTTGTTAAATACAAAACCAAAAACATCTTTATTTACCTTTTTAAAATAAATTAATTCTTACAAATCGTCAAATCTCGTTATTTATTTTACCCTACCAGCGTTTCAAGACATAAATTTGTCAGACAAAAGTGTGTGTCTTATTGTTATGAGTAAGTACGGTTCCTTGGGATCGGTATGAGTGCACCACATACAGGGACCATGGTTTTAACTCTTAAGAGTACATCGCAGGATATGTATTAAAAACAATGCTACTTTATACTTCTTCTACTGCTACTTTATTCTAATTAATTATTTGCTACTTGTGCTGTTAATTACAATTCTCAATCCGTAAATAATATCTTCTTTCTACCGTGTTTGTACTACTGTTCTCGTAAAATCATCGTAACCGATTGTTGTAATCGGATTACATGAACATCACTCGACCATGTATGTCCATTTGGACATATCGGAATGGCACGCTTTGACGATCAACTTGCTGTATCTACTCTAATCCATATCTGTGATCTATGGACTTGCTGAAGGAAGGGAAAGATGCATTATGCCGTGTTTCAAGGCCAGAAATTTAAAAGTTAGCTTGTCATTTAATGGCGGCTTTATTAATTTACTGCAAAGTGAACCTTATGCTGTTAGCAAATAAGTTGAAAATTAAATAGAATACAACATGTCAGCCTGAAAAGTTTACTTTTGTTTGTTTGGCTTTGGCTCAGTGTTGTTCCTGACAAATTTAGGGTTGCCGTATTCTAATTCTAAAATTGCCGGATTTTTAAGGAAAACTTAGAAAAATTGCCGTATTGTACAACATGCTTACTTGGAAGGTTAAAATTAAAAAAAATGTTGATGTATTATGTACTATAAGTACGTAAACTACTTTTAAACTTACTTATTTTATTCTTCACTTTTAAAGGTTTTGAATAGTTTAGTCCTAGAACCTACCCGAATAAAAGTGAAAAATCTACCAAAATGAGGAACTAACGATTTTAGACATTAATATCTCGGGATAAGGTTGCATTTGGTTGAATTCTGTTGACGTTTCTTTTCATGGCGCTTCTACTTCATCTATGATTTACAATTTGGTGCGTTCCATTAGACGAAATATTTTTTTTTGTTTACTAAAACTCATGAAAAACTCATAAAACTCTACAATAATCAATTGCCGTATATTTTGATACGGTAATGAAAGAGCTGCCGTATACCGTATTTATGGTGCCTAAGATGCCTGAATGCCGTATATTACGGCAATTGCCGTATCAAGAACATCACTGCTTTGGCTATAATAATTTGGATTCATTTAGATCCTATGTATTACTTTTCTCTATGATTTAGATTGTTTTATATTATTATTATATTTTACTTTGACAATGAGTATTTATCATTGGAAATTAGGTGATGTTGCCCTTGCGAAGATATGTAAGAAGGCTTATGCAAAAGTTCATGTTGTGTATGATAAAAAAGGCCTGTTTTATGATACGAAAGGTTTGTTTTCAAACTAGTACTTTAAAAACTTTATTTTAAACAAGCTATGGAACTTATTTTAAGTATTCCTGCCACACAGTTTTAGGTATATCAGCAAACGAAGACGGCAGCATCACAGTGACGGAAGAACTTTGCTATTATGTTGAGATTATTCGAACTAAAGAAAGACTATGGCTTCCATACACCTGCCTCCATTTAGCTGAGAGATCTCGGCCTTTCTATGGGCCTGCAGACAAGACAACTCCACCTAAACCCAGTAAAACCTCTTCTGATATGCCTAAAAAGGTATTAAAATTCTTCTCCTAACTTTTGTAGAAACTTATCATAAAATTAAATTATAGTAACTTAGATGTTAGCTTTGAGTGACTGTCACTCAGAATAATAGCTTTCTACTGGTGAAAGAATTTACAAAATCAGTTCAGTAGCTGCTCCTAAAAGATTCCAATTTTCCAAAAGAACTTTACCACTTTTTATTGCGGTGTTTGATAATCAAACACCGCAATAAAAAGTGGTAAAGTTCTTCTTTGATTATACCTATTGTTACTTTAATTAGAAAAGTTTCTTACTATCTATTAAAACCAACATAAAAATAATTTAATTCCTTTAACAATATTAACTTTCTATTTATAGCATCATTAATAAACTTAACTATAATTTCTGAATATTTATGAGTAGTTATAATGAATCATTTAAAAAACTTTTCAGAGAAAAATCAAACAAGACCATACCCTGCCATTTAGCGTGAAGATATCAAAAAGTTACAAAGAGCCAGATCTTAACACCACTTACGATATCCGTCACATGCCGTTAAAGCAAGGGAAATATGAGAATGCTTTCAGCGAGTTTGTGCGCCGAGGCAAGGAAATGCTATTCGATCAGTACTTCATAATCCTCCAAACTGCTTTAGTACGAGATGACGATTGCTTGGATTACCTGTTAAACGTTGATGCGAGCACGGAAGACAAGTTTGAGATGGTGATCAAGAAAATAGCTACGGAGAAAGAGTTGGAAAATTACCTGCATCAATGTTGGAGGTATAACTTCATATGCAAGCAGAGTGATAGTAAAGATACACCGGAGAAATCAGTAAGTATGAAAGATAGCGTAGAAAATCTTCTTTTAATTTTAATAAAATTAAATAAAACTTATTATTTCTGAAAAAATACCTGAACTAAGTACATTTAATCCTAATACCTAGGTGAATTTTTGCATAAACAAAATAAAAAAACCCAGAACTATTTCATTTTAAGAAGATAGAAAAACATAGTTTGTAGTTGTGTTTAAAGTAGCTACAAGTCCCCAAACTAGCACTATCTTTTAATGATTTGATAATTTAATAAATTAATTTTAAATCATTTCTTTTTCAAAATCTGTCACTGTGGCTAATACTTTTATTACACACAAGTATTAATTCTTTTACTATAGCAACATTTGTTTATTTTCTTTCCAGAATGCCACATCTCCCCAGAAAGCTGCTATAACCCTCCACATACCGTGGTGCCTCGTCTGCGGCAAGGGTAGCAAGCTGCGCGAGTGCCCCAACTGTCCCTCTTCCTTCCACCCTGTATGCAGGCGCGAGTGGCTGGTCACTATCATACGTGAGTGTCTTATTGTCCTTGCAATAAGGGTAATTTTGCAACAACAGTAACACTTATTACTATAACTGTCCCTCGTCATTCCACCCTGTAGGTATGTAGGCGCGAGTGGCTGGTCACTATCATACGTGAGTATCTTATTGTCCTTGCAATAAGGCTCATTTTGCAACAAAATTAACATTTGTTACTATACTGTCCTTCTTCCTTCCACCCTGTATGTAATGTAGGCGCGAGTGGCTGGTCACTATCATACGTAAGTATCTTATTGTCCTTGCAATAAGGGTAATTTTGCAACAAAAATATCATTTATTACTATACTATCCTTCTTCCTTCCACCCTGTATGCAAGCGCGAGTGGCTGGTCACTATCATACGTGAGTATCTTATTGTCTTGTTGGTTGTCCTAATTAAATAAATAAATAAATAAATAAATTGTCCTTTTAATAAGGGTAATTTTGCAACAAAAATAACATTTATTACTATAAATTTACTGTCCCTCTTCCTTCCACCCTGTATGCAGGCGCGAGTGGCTGGTCACTATCATACGTAAGTATCTTATTGTCCTTGCAATAAGGGTAATTTTGCAACAAAAATATCATTTATTACTATACTATCCTTCTTCCTTCCACCCTGTATGCAAGCGCGAGTGGCTGGTCACTATCATACGTGAGTATCTTATTGTCTTGTTGGTTGTCCTAATTAAATAAATAAATAAATAAATAAATTGTCCTTTTAATAAGGGTAATTTTGCAACAAAAATAACATTTATTACTATAAATTTACTGTCCCTCTTCCTTCCACCCTGTATGCAGGCGCGAGTGGCTGGTCACTATCATACGTAAGTATCTTATTGTCCTTGCAATAAGGGTAATTTTGCAACAAAAATATCATTTATTACTATACTATCCTTCTTCCTTCCACCCTGTATGCAAGCGCGAGTGGCTGGTCACTATCATACGTGAGTATCTTATTGTCTTGTTGGTTGTCCTAATTAAATAAATAAATAAATAAATAAATTGTCCTTTTAATAAGGGTAATTTTGCAACAAAAATAACATTTATTACTATAAATTTACTGTCCCTCTTCCTTCCACCCTGTATGCAGGCGCGAGTGGCTGGTCACTATCATACGTAAGTATCTTATTATCCTTGCAATAAGTTTATTTTACCACAACCCTCCACATACCGTGGTGCCTCGTCTGCGGCAAGGGTAGCAAGCTGCGCGAGTGCCCCAACTGTCCCTCTTCCTTCCACCCTGTATGCAGGCGCGAGTGGCTGGTCACTATCATACGTAAGTATCTTATTGTCCTTGCAATAAGGGTTATTTTACTATAACCCTCCTTTAATTTTATAACCCTCCACAAACCGTGGTGCCTCGTCTGCGGCAAGGGTAGCAAGCTGCGCGAGTGCCCCAACTGTCCCTCTTCCTTCCACCCTGTATGTAGGCGCGAGTGGCTGGTCACTATCATACGTAAGTATCTTATTGTCCTTGCAATAAGGGTTATTTTACTATAACCCTCCTTTAATTTTATAACCCTCCACAAACCGTGGTGCCTCGTCTGCGGCAAGGGTAGCAAGCTTCGCGAGTGCCCCAACTGTCCTCGTCCTTCCACCCTGTATGCAGGCGCGAGTGGCTGGTTACTATCATACGTAAGTGTCCTTTTGTCTTTTTCATAAGGATAATTTTGTAACAACTTTTACTATTAAGTGAGATTTTATTGTTCTCTACTAGCGGCCGCCCGTGACTTCGTACGCGTAAACCCCGTTTTACCCCGAAGTTTCGATTATTTTTTAGGAATTGCCCGGAAATTATTCGAATTTTTCTCGCCGTAAAAACCATCGTGGACTTCAACGAACATTAAAAAAAGAGAATTGGTAAAATTGGTCCAGGCGTTGTTGATTTATGCGCTTACCAACACATTTTGCGATTCATTTTACTAGCATTCACTTAATCGGTAAGTTTTTCTTAGTAGGACCCACTGATAATGTGGGGAGAGATCCACATAACCCGCCCACTTATGGAAATGCAATCGAACTTATTTTCTAAAATACCTACAGCACTTTTCTTTTAAAACTTCCAGACCGCAAGAACCCTCCCAAGAAGGCGGTCAAGCAGGTGACCCTAGTAGAGAAGATTCTCTCCAGCACGAGAACCATCTGTTCAGTGCGCAAGGAGCGGGAGAACATCGATCTGTGCCCCAGCTGCATGTGGGGACCGAGAGTGGGGTAAGAGCATAGCTGGGCATTAACTCGTTAATCCGTTAATCGTTAATTAACGAAGTTAACATTTCTATTAACGGATTAACTTTTAAGTTAACTTTAAAAAATGTTAACGGACTCGTTAACTTCCGTTAAACTATCACTACAGAAGGGTACAAGAAAGAGGGGCAGCTACATTAGGTAACACAGAGTCGTTCAGGAGAGTGCCAGGAAGTGGTACAGCAACCGCAGTTAAGGAACGGCTGGGACGAACAAGGATAAGCGAATCCAACTCGTGAGCCTTGACAGGGATACGCTGGTTAAGGCGGACCTTTACAAGGCTTGGGAGCCTACGGGTGACGAGCTATTGGACGTGGAGAGGGTCATTAATTATACACATATTTTCTACTTTGCCGAACATTTGCACGAGAACGGTTTGTCCAAAACATATGAATTTGGTCTTATTTAATGCAGGATTAAATGCCCTTCACCCGTCAGGAAGACCACTTTTCGATAGGGTAAGTCCTTTAGGCGGTATAACCGGAAAACCCCCACCACTTAAGCACAACTCAGTCGATAAAATCGCAATAAAATCTTTTGTAGGAATTATTTCCGATTTAAAATATAATTCTACTGGCCGGGACAAATTTTACAACTGAATTTATGACCAGTTTTCCTCAACCGATTGAGCTGAAATTTAGTATACTTATGTAAGTACGATGACAATGCAATGTTATGGTACCATTGAGCTGGTCAGATGGTGGAGTCAGGAGGTGGCCATAGGAACTCCTAAATGAAACGGCGGCATCGCATCGAATTTGGGTTCGTTGGATTTGTCTTTTTGAGCACTTTAGTACTAGATGATGTCCAGGCTCCTGATGATGGAGTCAGGAGGTGGCCATAGGAATTCCTAAACGAAACGGTGGAAACTTATCGAGTTTGGGTTAGTTGGATTTGTCTTTTTATTTGAGCACTTTGGTGCTAAATTGTATTGTAATTGAACCAAGGCTCTGAGATTGAGATACCTACTAATAATAAAAAGTGTAAAATCAAATTATAATATTAAATTTAAAAACAGGCTTTTATTCTGAAATGGAGTTGTACAAAAACGAAAAAAATAATTGTACTTATGCAAGGTTCAAATAATTTCGAAAGCTTGTAGCGCAAACATAAAAGAGGAAATAAATTCCATGCGCGATACAAGCTTTCGAAATTATTTGAACCTTTCATAAATTTTTTTTCGTTTTATTATCATGTTAACGGATTAACGATTAACGTTAACTTGCGTTAAATCTTGCGAAATATAACGTTTTGACGTTTAACGAAGTTAATTTTTTTATTAACGGTTTAACGATTAACGAAGTTAACTATTTGATTAACGGTGCCCAGCTATGGGTAAGAGACTTCTATGCAGTGGCGGATTTACAGTTTTGCCGCCCGTAGGCTAGGTTGGGGTTGGATCTTTATTTAACTTTTATCTTCTGAAATCGAGTAAGTGTCATCTGAAATCTGCCGCCCCTAGGCCGCGGCCTATACGGCCTATTGACAGATCCAGGACTGCTCTATGTAAGGCTAAGAACTCACGGAGCGATTTTCACCCGCGCCCGCGGCGGTTGTGGAATTGCCGTTTTATTTCAAAACTCACGGAGCGGTTATTTTTTTTATTTTTTTTTTTTTTATCCACAACGAGGAAGCTCTTGGCCTGTATCTCACCTGATGGTAAGTGATTTGCGCGGTTATTCTAAGAACTCACGGCGCGATTTTAAATCGCGTATTATATCATACTTTTTTTTTCTCGAATCAACAGGTGAACATAGATAGATTTTATTGTAAATGCAAAATCTAAATTACATACCAATAAGTGATAATTTAACAAAAGATGTGTTACAAATGTTATCATTTTACGTGACCGTAGCCATCACAAAATGTAAGTAATAAAATAAATTTTGTGGAGTAAATAGTTAATAAAATAAAGTTTTTTATTGGCATCAATGAAATCGTTAATAGGGGCCTAGAATAGCGAGATAATGTAATAAAGTAGTGGTTTTAAAAATTAAGAATAACTGCAATAATTATTTTGGATTATTTTTAACAATTCAAAAAGTCGGGGGTTCAGTAAAGTTCAAAATCATTCTAGCTACGACGACGTAGTCTTGCTAAGCTCGACTTTATTTCTGTTGTGAATAAAGTTCAAAATCATTCCAGCTACGACAACGTACCTAGTCTGGTATACATAGATCGTTTCATCCAGGCGCCCCAATTTTTGGTTTAGGGAAGCGCGGGGTGCAGTTTGATCCCAGCAATCCGAGCGTCATTATTGTAGTGTGCGTGTCCTTTCTTGGATAATTTAGTGTGTACCGATAACACTCAAACAGGAAGAGGAGTGGAAAACGGAAGAATGGTGGGGCGCGTCTTCGTGGATGAAACGATCTAATACAACCAATGTCTTACTAAGTTCGTCTTTATATCTGTTGTCAATAAAGTCCAAAATGGTTGCAGCTACGACGACGTAGTGTGGCACAAGCAATGTCTTACTAAATTCGTCTTTATTTCTATTGTCAATAAAGTCCAAAATGGTTGCAGCTACGACGACGTAGTGTGGCACAAGCAATTTCTTACTAAATTAGTATTTATTTCTATTGTCAATAAAGTCCAAAATGGTTGCAGCTACGACGACGTAGTGTGGCACAAGCAATGTCTTACTAAATTCGTCTTTATATCTATTGTCAATAAAGTCTAAATTAGTCTTACGGCACACTGCACAGATTTAATCATTATACAGGGTGTCCAGGAATGGGTGAATCAAAATGATAGGGGAGGTAGCACAGCTCTACTAATGTACTATCCCAAAAAAAATATGAAAAAAAAATTTGAGTTCGGATTTTTTTTTTAATAAAGTGCTCTAAACTCGAAATCTAGTCATTCTTTCAAAAGTTTGTTTACAGATAAACGAAGCGATCATGTACAATTAATATTAGTAAGAAAAAAGTACAAATAAACTCCAAACGCAGCAATTATAGCCAGATACTTAGGCAAAGCTGATTTATCTTCACTTTATCAAAAAAAAATTTTTTCCTTTTGCGCTTTTTTTTTCATATTTTTTTGGGATAGTACATTAGTAGAGCTACCTCCCCTATCAGTTTGATTCACCCATTCTGGGACACCCTGTATGCAAGTACCTCAGTTTGTATAGAAAACACGCGCGGCATAACACATTGACAACGCGTTTGCGCGCGGGATTCGTTATTATGCCTTTTTCGTCTTTATATCTGTTGCCAATAAAGTCCAAAATGGTTGCAGCTACGACGACGTAGTGTGGCACAAGCTTGGCACGTGCGCATGGTGGCCGGCCCGGGTGCTGACTCCGGGCTGCGTGCCGGCCTGCCTGCTGAGCAGGACCCACTCGCCGCGCCAGTGGCCTCTGCAGTACTACGGTGAGCCCCTAACATTTACTACATTAGCCACGCTAAAGGATTGTTCTATCTTTCTTAAAGTTTCCAGAGCAGAAGCACGACCTCTTCGCTAGCTATAGTCTGGTCTGTGAGAATTTTGTCCAATGACCCCAAGCTACCCATCCTTATCGCTCGCGCGTAATTATATTGCTGTTGCGACTGTGCGACGGGCGCCCGCAGTGAGTGTGCGAGCGCGACAGCAAGATAATTACGCGCGAGCGATAAGGATGGGTAGCTTGGGGTCATTGGACAAAATTCTACGTGCTCGCAGACCGGGCTTTACATTAGCCACGCTAAAAGATAGTTCTATCTCTCAAGTTTCCAGAGCAGAAGCACGACCTCTTCGCTAGCTAGACGGGTTGGAGAGATCAGTACGGCTAGCACGAAAAACTTTCGAGTTCAAATCGTTTGCGTACTCGAATCGCAATCAAAAGATTAAGTAAGAAAACTACAACAGCGAACTTGTGAACGTGTCCCAAAGTGAACTTAGTATGAGATGTGGTTGCACGAAACTATTTGGAGAATCAAAATTGTCAAGTTATCGTTTAATTCAAAGATTGAGTATCGAATTTTATCGAATACGCAAACGATTCGAAGACAAAAGTTGTTCATGCTAGAGGTACAGGTGTATGCATATTAACAAATACTTTTGTTAGATGCATTGTGTGGTTTACTACTCGGTTTGTAATTTTGTATTAATGTCCTTTGCGTGTGTTATGTGCTTGGGTAACTAACATGCTTAATGTGTAGAAAAATTAAATTGCGTCCATTTTGTATCTGGGAAGAAATTTGTATTTTTTAACTGAGTTGATTCTATTCATGTACTAATATTACAAAAATAGGACAGTTTTAATTCCAAAATCACTTCGTCTTGTCTCACTTGTCTAACCCCCCTGGTGCCTAGTGTTTAACATTGCTGGGTGTCAGGTACGCTAAACTGCTCTTGGGGGATGCGTGACAGTTATAATTGCGAAATCGCTTCGCTCCGGCGTTTTTTCGCAGTCTTACTTCGTCTACCTAAATCCCCCGGTGGTTGGTATCTAACATTGCCCGGGTGTCGGTACACTAAACTACTCGTGGGGGCAGGCTAACCGCTATGTGCCTGTTATACCTATTGGCCCCTTAGACAAAGTTACAAACGTGACAGTTGTAAGTAATTCAGATATCAGTTCACTCCGGCATTTTTCTTTCGCTCCGTGTACTTATCAAAACTGTCATGCACGAATGCTACTTTATCCACTTTAGTCCACTTTTTTGCTCCGTGAAGTGATTTCTAATTCAAAACTGTCACTTTGTCTAACTCCCCTGGTGGCTGGTGTATAATATTGCTGGGTGTAGGTACACTAAACTACTCATGGGGAGAAGCCAACCGCATGTGCCTGTTTCTGCCGAGCCACACGGCGGCGCTTGAAGGCGGCGACCCGATGCGACAGCAAGCCGTGTTGGACGCCTGCGACGATTATATCGCTGTATATCTGACGTAAGGCCTTACTAACCTCAGTGGTTTGTAAATTGACCACCATTGACCAATAATTTTAAGGCACAACTTCTCGAAGGTCTCGTATTACAAAGCCTTATTAATAGCCTCGGTCGATGAGAAATTGATTCACCAAACAGATAGACAATAAGGGTTTTCGCGTATGAAAGATCCGCTAGATGGCGGGACGTGGATGTGGGGTCCGACTGCTGCGTGATTGGTGGATTTTGACATATCTGACAATGCCATGTCAAAATTAACCAATCATGCAGCATTTGGACCTCGCGTCTACGTATTGCCATCTGGCGGATTTTTCTTACGCGAAAACCCTCATTAGACAAAAAAGCTACGGTGTGTATTACAGAACGAAAATAAACTCCATTCAATTTCAAGCATACTCGTAGATTGAGCCTTAGATTTATTTGATATTTATTCGTATTAGTTATATCAATCATAGGACAGAATCTATGACTTAGTTTTAAACAGCGTCCTAGAAAAGAAAGATTCTTTTTGAGAATTCTTGTATTGGAATTGGAATTATTGGTTAATGGGCACATTTACGCCACATTGATCTGAAGCTTTTATAAAATCAAGACTACTTTTGTATTCGTTCTTTTAACACGCTTTTGAAATTATTTATTTGATTTTGCATGTTGAATAATTTTATTTATGTTGACAATGTCGTGGATCGACTGCTTAAAAATCAATGTTAATTTTATACTTTTTGACTGTATTTGTTCTTTTGACACGTTTTTTTAATTGTTTATTTGATTTTGCATGTTGAATAGTTTTATTTATGTTGACAATGCCCAGGGTTGAGTACTTATTCATAACACATCTATGTTATTTCTCACTGAACTCGATTCTATTTAGCAGGATACAAAGTTGAGTATTGCATGTTTAATAATTTAATTGTGCAAATGTTCAGGTGTTTCAGTAATCTTTTAAGGTTCTCTTGCGAGATAATAAAATTATATAAGTATGTTGTTTTCAAAATTTTATCTATAAAGATATCAATCTTTAATCTGAAATCATTAAATTACCAGTGACGCAGGCGCAAGATTATGCCGATATTTGATTTAATTTTTAATAGATCGTAAAAAAACGTTTAAAAATCGATCGATCATGCCTTGACAGCTTTACCTAAAGGCTAAGCTGATAAAATCAGCTGCAAATTATTGATTAATCTTTAGTTTAAGCCTGGTTGATAAATAATTTTGTAGAAAGTGATATCTTGATTGTGATAATAAATCTATTTTGATTTGAATAACCTTGATTGTGTTTTTACCACCCTTGGACATAACGCCACCTTGTCCCAAACTTAGCAAAGTTTGTTATATGGATGGATATTTAAATACATTTTGAAATGTGTTTAACAAATCAATTTGCTATACTATTTGTCACATTAGTAAGTGCATACGAACCAGTTATTTTACATTGAAAACAACAAAATTCCAATTGCAACGCTTTATTTCTTTTTACATAAAAATAATACTTTTGTTTTATATTCAACGTCTAGCAAAAGCAATGTGTGATTACACAATTTAAAAAAATATTTTGTACTTAAATTTAAAAGAACATAACAATACACACAGACGTACATAAATACAGGGTGTAATGTACAGATTGGCAGAAAACTTTAAAATTACTGTCCTAAACTTGATATACCACATTTGGCGCTTATGAAACAGGCTGAAAACTAGTTTTGCCAATCCAGGACTTGAATCTATTCATTTCATATTACTAACCATAATATAGATTTTAAAATAAAAATGGCTGGTTTAAAACTTGATTATTAATATAATTGGTAATAATAATAATAACTGAAAGTATAGCCTTAAGTAATCACAATTTTTTTTGCAAATCTGTGCCTTTACGCCCTGTATACATTTTTATAAAATTATCACAATCTCAATGTTACATTATACATTGTCTCTCCATTCTCACGTTTGAGGTGATAATCGAAAGATTTCATGTTCGATGTATAGGTTATATGGCGCAGTTACACTATGCGGGAAATTAATTGAGACAGTGTAAACGCGCACTTCAGTTAGTTTCGCCGTGCGTCGCTCATACTTCGGTGTGCGTACTCGCGCTTCGTCTCGGTCAATTTGCCGCATAGTGTAACTGCGCCAATAAGGATATCTTTGTTAAAATACCCACACCGAGTCAAACTGTACAGTCTACGTCAAAAATATCCTTCCAATGCTTAATAATAACTTTACATTTTCATACAGTACAAACCCCATACGGCGTAACTGCTAATATGTTTCCAGTACTGTCGCCAGCAAATCAACAACAAAATTACAAACTTCCCCAATCGATTTTCAATTTTATCCATTTGGATTTATGGTTGAAATTCGTGGTAGGTTGATGTGCTCTCGACAATACAAATCTTAAGCTTGGCACTTGAAGTGCAGCTTTAGCCTTACATAATAGTTAAAAAGCTTATTCCATACATTTAAGAAATACTTGCATTAATTTAAATTCATTCACATTACATTATACTACAGTATATTTTAGCACACATTGCACAATCTAGAGTGGAAAATTATAACCTCAACATGAATAATAAGTTCAACCTTTAAATTGACCTTATTTTGTTCAGCCAAATCAATTTGTTCGTCGGATGAAAAGAAACCATAATATGTTTGCTTTAAAAGTACAAAAATGCTTTTGACATTTTTACTTCGCGCTAGTTGAAGCTAACTAAAGGTTGCATAATTTTATTATTGTCGGTTAGGATTTGCTAATTTAATTTATTCAGTGTTATTTTTCAGGAACATTTTATTCCTTGTCTTACAGAAATACCAAGTACATTTCAGATCCGACAAAGAAGGTAAGTTAAGAAATTAAAACACTGGTTACACTGGTATGTATAATGTGGAATCACTAATCTAGAATTTATTCTAATGTGTAATAAATATTAAAATTTGATTCTGTCTGTGCCAAAGCGCTCCAATCATCAACAGTCAGCGTCAAATAGTTCGTGTCACCCAAAGTGGCCAAAATCTCAGCCTTATTTCAATTGTAACAAAGACGTGTTGCGAACTTTTTGGCTACTTTGGATGATACGAACTATTGGACGTTGACTGCACCAGGATTAATGTTAATCACCGTTTGTTTCAAAGCCCAAAACAAATTCACTGGAGGAAAAATTTTCCTCAACATGTATCAAACGACATTGGACGCTTACCTTAACACATGTAACGTTTAGATGTTGACGACATAGTTCGACATTTCCCGATTTGTTCAGAAATGTCGAATTTAATGGTATTTGCCGACTTCTGGACAAATATTGGACCAATTTAGCACAAACAAGACCAAGGTACAAGTAAATTGCACTTGTTATTGTTATTTTTAGAATTGACACATTACGTCTACACCCACGGGTGCTCGGAACTACCATACATGTATGGTTTTAAAAAGGCATCGCTGTATTAAATTAAAATAATCTAAACGCAAAACATTCACTAATTTTCACGCTATATTATAGTCTTAAAAAATATAACAGGGTGTAAGGTCTCTATTTATTTTTGTTAAAAATAAACATTAATTTAGTCGAACTTTATCGCAATGTTTCCGAAACACCCTGTATACATGTGTAATATCCATATCCGTATATAGCAAGTTAAGTCAATATTCCGAATCATCACTCGACAAACGCGCTCCGTTCTACACATGTTAAAAAAGTATAAACAGATACATACAGATAAATAAAGATCACAGACATCAACAAGTACATTAACTTTAATTAGCCGTCTCTAAATTGATTGTTTATTATGAGGGATTGAACATTTACAATGGAATTTTTGTACAACACATAATAAAAACATAAAAATGTTTAACACAATGTCAAATGTGTCGTTTACTATAGCGCTTCACTGAGACATTGCTTGAGGTATAGGAACGGCACAGGAGGGGTGATTTAGACATAATTATTATGCCGTGAGAGAGCATACACATCTGAAGTCTCGATGACGTTTGACGTAACAAAAAACACCCTCCCGTGCCGCTTTAATAAACGTTTGTAACAATGTTCAATCCGTCATAATAAAGCAGTCATATAACGATATTTCACAGCTTATCAGGAGCAGTATGCCATCAAAATATAGGTACTAAATAGTAAACTGGGTGCATTTGAAATCATTAAACCAAAATTAAATAATATTCACATGCCGACAACATCTTTTGTGTAAATATCCTAACATGGTTACTAAATTTTTAATAAAATCTGAACAGAAGATATAAAGAAGTAGGAAAGGCCAAATATGGGTTTAGTTACCAAAGATTGTCTATGTTTCTTAGGTATATAGACAAACGCTGAGTAATAGTCATAAACATAGCACACACAATAAAAAACGGTACTTTACATTGTGACCGCAAAGAATGAAAGAAATGAGTTGCCTTATTTGCACGACTTATCTGTAATAGTGCATGTAAAACACAGATGACTTCATATTCTGACATCAGTTCTATGCCTAAAGGTATTAAAATGGTGTGATTCATGGCAATACCTCGAAATATTTAGCTTAACTGTCCTAGTGAGGCACCTCCTTAATCCAACAATTCATTCGTCTCACGCATAGGGGGATACTAGCACGTAGGACAGTGAAAGATAAGACCCGAAAGTACAAAATGAAGTAGGAAATAACCCCACAACAAGGGCTTTTGTAAAATCCCACAGGATCCACTCATATTTAAAACTTTAAAATCGTTTAAAAATAAAGAATTTAGAATCGATTCTGACTTGGAAATAAAGAATACAGGACAACATCTATTAGGAGTTATGTTTATTTCAGTTTATAAGAACTTGTGTGTCTTCATTTTCAGATTGGAAAGTTCTTACGTTTAATATTCACGTGCATATATTTATAGCAAGACAAAAAAAAACTTGTTATCGGCATGTAACATGACTGATGATCTACTCGACCGATATTGACGGCACACCGAATCCTATGACGTCAGTAGGTACTTCAGGACAACACTATCTTCGCGTAAATGACATCGCAAGCATCAAGTATGTTCGGTCACGTACACCAAAAGGCTGATCATTATCGAATTGATAATGTTCCAGCTGTAGGTATCGCATGAAGTATGCGAGCTTTACTGGATTTTATAACACATTATTATGACAAGTCTCAAAGACAGATAAAATATCTAATTTGAGTTTTTCCGGAGAATTGCATACCTACTCACTACTTACTCAATACAATATTTACTCTACATTAGTGACACTTCTGTTTTCTCTAAAGTTGGTAATTTTTTTCTTACTGAATATATCGAAACGATATTTTGATGGTCTCATTATTTCATATCCGTTAAGTAGAAAAATCTTTATAAGCACAACAAAAGTCCCACAAATATCTAACTAAACCTCTTAATCATAGAGATAAAAATATTTTCACAGTCGAGCTCATTCATTAACGGTATTCCGTCCACGGCTTTTACTCCAGTAACTGTCAACACAGTTATTTACTTGTTACCACACATACTAATTACACCAAGATAGTACTATCCCAAGTAAATAAATGCATCAAATATACAATCCATGGAAGCTACAACAACAATGCACATTTACATCTATACAATATTGTAACTTACACTTTACAGGCCGCTGCGAGTCTATTCCCCGGGACCAATGACCAAGGCGCTAACAGCGAAGAACAGGAACACTAAACCACCGATTATGGTAACTGTGGAAGGAGAAAAAAAAGATCATATCAAAATATGGTCCTTCGAGCCGGATACGTCTATTCTAAGAACTAATCTTTTCTAATACACCTGTGACAAAAAGAGAAGACAGGAAAGTCAGTTTACAATTATTTTGCGGCATCACTGTCATCAACTAAATATATTTTTTGTTTCATTTCTTGCAACTGGTACCAATCGCCCCAGTGCGAGAGGAATTGTGAAACCGACCGAACAAACCCCTAGCATTTAGGAACCGATCTCAAATTCACCAGTTACACTGGGCCGCTTTCAGTGCCATTGCCAGCTGGGACTCCGCAAGGTAGGTTACTAAGTTCTTCAACTCGCCAGTTCATCTGCGCCACCAACGAGTACTCACCAGTCGCATCAGGGGTCGCAGGGTCCGGTAGCACCACCGTTGCCACCTGGGACTCCGCAAGGTACGTTACTGAGTCCACTTGGAGAATCATCTAGCATTTGCAACTGTTGTTACCGACTGAGACTACGCCCCACTCCGCGAAGAACGTTATCCATTAGACTAGAAGGACTATCCAGCATTTAATTTAGTACGTAAACTCACCAGTCGCATCAGGGGTCACAGAGTCTGCTAGCACCACAGTTGCTAGCTGGGACTCCGCAAGGTACGTTACTAAGCCCGCTTGGAGCATCTAGTGTTTGTAACTGATTTCTAACTCACCAGTCCTCACAGAAATCTTCTGCGCCACCATCCTTCCTCCGATGACGGCGAGCCCGGTACACAGGGCGTGCCCGAGCGAGCCGCCCACGACTACGCCCACGGCGTTCTCCCGAGTGGCTAGCACCACTGTCGCCAGCTGGGAGCGGTCGCCCCACTCGGCGAGGAAGGTCAGAGATGCTGCTTGCAGGAGCACCTGGTATTTGGTAAGGTAATTATTTTATATCGTGTTTAGGTCAAACGCACTTGCGGATATTGTAAAGTCATTATGTCATAGACGGTAAAGCTTTCTTCAAGAACGGACCCCGCTTCTGTGCATTACAGACGGAGCAGCTGCTTTACTTTACTAGAATTTCTCTATGAACTATGAGGAAGCTGTAGATATACACACGCCCTGCTCTAGCTTTTCATTTAAACGTCACGTGTCTAATTTCGTTTGAGATCATTATTAATAATATAATAATTATGTAACATCAGAAAGCACAAGGGATTTTACATGCTTCAAAGTTAACGTCGCGTGATCTAGCTCTTATCAAAACACTATGACTTTTTCATACGTTTAATCCCTAGAATTTTTTAAGTGGTAAGCAAATATTTGAGCAAGTTTTTATTACAGTTATAATTAAATGTCATATTAGTGTAGGAAATCTTTCATTTTAATACTTTTATTGTTGTACATTTCCCAGTCAAATTACGACCGAGGAAGAAATCAATCTAATTAATTTCGTAAAAGAACTCAATGCAAATACTCACTTTGATTATCGCGTTCCGTTTCCGCCGCCTGTTCTCCGCCTGTCCTTGTTCAAGCATGTCCAAGGTCTCCTCCTTGTCATGCTGCAAAATTTCAAAGATTTTAATTTACTTAAAAAATAATATACATAAAGTAGCATTTTGGCGGTTAATTAAAAATAATCAATCCAGTTGATTATCATCAATCTTATCTGTAATAAAGGATAGACCGATGTCAGGATGATGCGTGTAATTTTATTTTAAAAAACTGACTTAATAAGCATCATAACTTCCTTGTGGACAAATTCCCGTGACTAGTGTCGCTAGACAGACGACATATTGTGTCAGTGGAAATCGTGCAACATTGAGCGACTGACAATGACAGCTTAGCGACACTTGCCGTGGGGTTGTTGAAAAGTATACGAAATTAACTAAGTATTTACACAATAAATACCTTGTATGTAGACATGATTTTAAACTATTGACTAAGCATGCTAAAGCTTGGTATACATATAAAATGCAATAAAAATAACATTGATAAAAGGTATAATGATTCTGATTAATCCAAAATTATACAAAATTCAAATCTACCTAGAATACTTAACTACTTATAAAAAATAACTATATTTACTTATAGTATCTGTAAACTTGATACGGAGTTTAACGATGTGTATTAAATTACGATTTAAATAATATAGTTAAAGCCGTTACAACCGACCTTGGTTATTATAAAAATATTATTTTCAATTTATTCTAACGCGATCCTTTTAGGTCGAATATAAGGTTTTGTAAAATCAAAAATTAATCGAGAACAACAGATTGATTGCAAGATAACCTTGATAAAGTTTTTGCTATAACTTTTTGTAATATTAAAGATCAGAAAAACCGATATCTATTTTACACACACGCAGTGTATTTATTTATCATCTAATCTTGTTGGTACTTTAATATAATAATATAATAATAATAAATCTTTGGACAATTTCACACAGCGCCAGCTAGCCCCAAAGTAAGCAACTCAATGCTTGTGTTATGGGTGCTAGCTTAACGGATATACTACTTATATACTTTTTTTAATATTAAAGTTGAAAATATTCCTAAAAGGCGCAATAATAATATTGTTTTTCAGAACACATCTAGAACAATAAACCGTGCGTATTTTATTGTTATTTTCGCCTCTTATACGTTTGTAAGCATCAAATTATTTTATGGATAGAAAATTATGTGTGACTTATTTGGTCACAGCTTGTTTTCAAGAAAAAGGCTCGAGAATAATAATCAGAAATGAAAAAAAGTACCAGAAGTCTAGTGCAGAACTGCGCATGCCAATCAACTAAGCTTCTTTGTGTGATTTCAAAGAACTTCTGTACATTTAATATACCTTTCTAGAAGATTTCTTCGACGAAAAAGTCTGCATTATACAAGTAGGAGTAAAATAAAGTAAGGTCTGAGTAACATAACAACCTGCATACAGGATGGGTCAAGATGCTCACTAAGCGCGGTGATTGCATACCTACATTCATACATAGGCCTATTTAATTGCCAGAAAAATAAATTAAGATGTAACGAATTGCTAATTGATGTTTTTAATTATTGTAACTAAAGTTTATAAGGGGAGATATTTTTAGCACATTATTGACGTAAATATTTTGAATTTATTAGTACATTTATTTTATTTTTCTGGTAACATCTCAAAGGCAAGAATATTCAAATGCTGAATTCCTTTGCACTTTCGCAAAGATCTAAATAAGCCGTCGTTAAGCTTTTTAATGATGTGGTATGTGCGAAACGGAACGTAAAAGAAAAAGGCTAGGCTAAAAGAAAAAAAAACTATGGTGTCATTCGTACTGCCAGGCATAATGACGTAAGTTCACCCTCAGCGGATCGGGCGTCGTTGACGGGCCTGCTTGGGGCTCCTCGGGGGGCCCGGGGGCTTCTACTTCGGGGGACCGTGAGGGCCCGGGGGTCTCTGAATTGACTGACGTGGGAGACGCCGGCGCAGTGGATGCCCGCGATCGGTCTCTTGACGCATCCTGTGCAGCGTCACAATACCAATCACCTATTTTTAAAGCCTTGATAGCTTCAGTCCGAATAAGTAAGTTAGGCATTCAAGATAAATCAATTTTGCGGATTTAACGAAATAAAAATGCCCTTCCCCTTTTGTTTGATAACAAAGAAACTGCACCTAATTACTTAACATCTTGAAAAACTTATAACACTAATAATAAAAAGAATAAGGAATTCAACATTTGATTTTGTATTTTTAGCAAATTAGTTTTAATATTACAACTACACAGGTATTAATTATTAGCATACTTCAGCTAGATTACTACTTCTAAAACATGGCAATGGCATACACACACGTTCGTTAAATTAATTCCTCATCTCTACAAACTCCACTCCACTCTCTCACAAAACTTATCAGTATGGTGTAAAAGAAAAAAATATTCATCTTTCTACGATACTATTCATAGCGAAATAGTAAGTTACTTTATAATCTTCTTATCGGTCAAATTGGCAGTAAAAGAACCGTATTACGTGAATTAATATACATAATTGCTTAAATGACTTATACCACCGTAAGTAAGCTATGTTTTAGTAAAAGGTAAAATTACATAGAGATAGGTATATTTTATGAATGATATAATATCATAAAACAATTTGCATAAAAATAAATTATCGTAATTTTCTGATCCGACAGAAGATACTGTGGTTTGATAAAGTGCTTAAGTGGATTATCATTGTACCTACGTGATAGTTTCGATTTTAGGTAAAACCAATTAAGATACCATTCCTGCCATTATCGAAGCAGGTACTAAGCATTTAAAAAAGATTTCTTGCAAAACAAGAATCCGTGTTTGATAAATAATTTTAATAACAATAAGGCGCGTTTAATTTGAGCTCTATTAAATATAAACATAACCTTCTCGGGTAAAAATTTAAAGGCTACATTTTGGACTCCATTTCTTTTAAATAAGATCTTCTAAATATTTCCATTTTTTCTTTTCCACTTATTACAATTGAAATTCATTTGAAATGAATGGGTTCTACTTATATTATATGATGCTACTTTGCGGTTTTAATTTTGAATCATGCTAATTTAGTTCCAAACCTTATCTACCTGAAAAATACAAGAGGCAATTTTCCACAAACGTTGAAACTAGAGATATTAATTGAATTCTTATCGAAAAATGTAAATGAGATTGTAATTACGTTATCTTATCACTGCGTCTGTTCTTTGTAGACTTTAAAGGCGTTTAGCGTTAATGCATTTAAATCATGTGTCGTAAAAGTATATTATTCTTTGTAGGTCTTACGGGAACGATATCTTCGCAATCTCTTATCTACTTTCAAGACGGATATAAAACTTACTGCGAAAGAGAAAGAAAATATCGACTCTTTTGCGCTAAAAAAATTTAATGGAACTTTCAGTAATTCAAACTAATTAAGTAATTTTGATTTTGAATTTGACGCAAACGAATTAACGGGCATGCTCTGGCAAAATACAACGTAACTATGTATTCGACAAGATCAGAATATAAAGTAGCTCTTAGAGACTTCTCTTCTTTCATCTAGAAAATTCTTGTACAATTTGTGAAATTACATCTCGGCTATTCAGCTGAAGAACGCGGTCGAGTTGTAATTATATTTCGTGCCATTTGTTACTAACGAATGCCTTGACCTTCGCGATTAAGATCGATTAGGTACGAGGCAATTGTGAAAATAAAAGGTCCCTATACCTACCTACTTGTAACTTGCTCATTTCTAATATTACACTTATTTACATTAAGTTACGCTTCAATTGGTCACATAAATGGAAAGCTTCTAAATACCTGCCTATTAACCGTCTTGATTAAACAGTTACTAAATTGTCTTTTTTCATTTTTTATATTTTTCACAGAAAGTGTCAAACCACACGGGCAAAAAGTGTTTTGATATTTATGAATAAAAGGGTAAAGATTTAATATTATGTTCAAAATCACGAACGATTTAAGCCAATCGCATCTTCGAATTATCTAAACAGATTACACCTAGATTTAAACAAAACCCGCCACCGATAAGCGTGTGAATTTATTTATGTCACAGATTTAGTTTCCTTTTTTGGCAAAGGGGAAGGGGATTTTTCTCCAATTTTGAAGTTAATTTTGAATCTATTGTCAGTGCCCTTCCCCGGTTAGAGATGAAAAAGTCAGTTTGACCAAAAATACAACGCGTATTCTTTCCAAGGATCGTGATGACTATAACTCTCAACGACCAATGGGAATATTTTTGTTCAAACTCAAGCAGAAAGCGTGCTTAATAAATCGACTTACCGCATCTTCTCTTCTCTTTAGTTCACTTTGAACTTCTTCTAACTCTTCTTGTCCTTCATTAGGGTTCATTTTCCAACCGTCTCTTAACATTTTAAGACCAAATATCGCGAAGAGAGCTGCGCTTATGTAATGCGTGTACACTCGTGGTATAACCGTTGCTATCCATCCGAAGGCTGCAGAGAGTATTGTCATGAAAACTAAGGCAGAAATGGCGCCAGCAAACACCACGATTCGTGGGTGCTTCATCGCCATGATGGCTGCTATGAAGAAGGTCTTGTCTCCCAACTCTGAGACGACGACTACCGAGAGAGACGCGATGAAGCCCTGCCAGAAGCTCCTACTCTGGATCGCTTCGCGCTGAAAAGAGAAATTGAACAAATAAGTTTCTGATCGTCAAGCATTTCGGTGTATATTATTTGGACTGAGATCTTTACACGTATGATTTGTAATTTTGATATTTGAATCGGACACAATATTAGGATTTTTGTATAATTCAGTATTCAGTGAATATCCAATAAAAAACCTTTACAACGTTTCATTAAGCTTATAGCAATTTGAGGGAATGTTTCCAGCGTGGTTCCGTTTACCCAGATAAAAATATGCACGGAAAGAGTAAGTTCGCAAACATGAGATTCTTATCACATTATAATTTTATTATTAGCAAATATAATTAGGAAGTGACACCGCACGTGTGTTAATCTCTCTCTTGGAAATGTGACGGCGGCGTTTTGTTGCTCTGCGCCAAATTATTGCATTACATAACCCACTTTATTATAATATAGTAGGTATTCGGCCAGCGAGAACTAGCGTGATCTCCAGCGTATTTATTTAATTAATTGTATCTTTATGAACTTCCGAATAATATCGCCAACTTAAAAACATAACAGAATCCGATGCAAAATACAGTGTGAGTCACGTTAAAGTGTACATATGAAAATAGATGAAACTAGACCTATTTTTATCGACAAAAAAGAGGTAAAAAATTTTTGAGATTTTTTTTTAAATTTTTATAGATTTTTTTTTCTTCAAATTACTTATTGTAAAGAAAACGTAAAAACTTTTAAACTAAGCGGTATATCCTGATAAAATAAAAACAGTAATAATGCTAAATAACAGGCGATACTAAAAAAATACATAAAATACACAAAAAATGCCAACAAATAATAAAAAATGATACTTTTTGAAAAAAATCTGCTTAAAAATTCGTGTTTTTTTGGTTATTTTATAAATTTTTCCAAAAAATGCCCCTATAACCTGTGGTTTTTATTACTTTGTATTATTTTCTATCGTATTATCTTTGTAAAACCAAAAATCGCATGTCTCTATCCCTATCACAACAACGTAAAAAAAAAACTATCCTTACACGCAAAGATACCTACTGTTTTACTAACGAAAACAAACGAATTGAGAACCTTCTTTTTTTAAATCTGTAAATAAGAGTTATTTACCTCGAAAACAATATAAGCCGATGACTTGATGTTATAAGTAATGAATTTAAATCACAATTTACAGAAATGATTGCAGAAAGTAACATCCCTAAATAAACCACGTAAAAACCGGACAATCCACTAGAAAAAATCCACAGCAAAAACTTTACCTAGTGTTTTTTACTGTAGTAAAAGAGACGTTAATCAAAACACATGTACTATTCTTGAAGATGAATCAGTCAGATTTCAAACATTGCAAAAATAACACGGATACTATAAAATCGAAAAGGAAAATTATGTGTTTACAAAAAAAATAAGGTTCTTCACTGACGCGAAAATTGCTGAAACACCAAAATTAATTTTCCAAAAATGAATAGGAAACATTTTACATTTGTCAAGCTATTTGGCTACAATTAAATTCAAACCGTTGGATTTCATAACTCTATCGTCTTGAAGATATAAATATCTTGGTGACAAGGAAATACACGTGTAAAGATGTTATTGAAATAGTTCAGCGTCCCGCATCTTTGTTGTTTACAGTGTAAGAAACTTCCTAGTTAAACAATTTGTAGTTTGCAACAACAGAAACTGTCACTTTTTATCAAATACAGCAGAATAACATTAACACTGACCGTCTTTGTAATAGTGAACTTGATTGTATGGTAAAGTAATTTTAGCATACCGATCCCCGGATTTTGAATTGAGATTTTTAGCTTGAGTTCACACTTAAGTAGCCAATAAATAAGCACGTCATTGGCTACTGTAAGCTGTAACTTAAGTGTGAATTTTTCATATTAAGTTCATGTGAAAAAAAAGTGGAGGATGAGCACGGTCAAGCTAAAAATTACAATTCAGAAACCGGCCCTGAGCCAGTTCAATCGATATATCTTTCAGGTGATATTATCAATCATACTTAATTGACAAATTGTCCGAGTCTGTTGACGCTGACTACACATAGGCAGGCATATGGGAGGGCGTCTCCCGGTTAATGATGGCACGCAATTTGATAGTGGCGAAAAGCCGTATGACGTCAATAGTTATTTGGCAATGACCTTGGCGCTCCCCGCCTCGCCTACCATCAAAGACCAAAATACATCACGTATTTCAGAATTTTGCACGATAACAACCATTCAGGACGTGCTATCTGGTCATAAATAAAGGGTAAATAACTAATAGTTTTAGCAATGTAATCTTTTCTGTAAAAAAATATTATTTATTTGGGAATAACAACAGCCGACAAAATATAATACACTTTTTCATACACCGAACGGGCTGACCTAACAGTCTGTATGTAATATAATGTACACTTCAGTATCTGCAGTATCACCGTCATATATCTAAAATAGAAAGTATTTTTATAGCTCACAGTGACAAAAAACATAAGTTCAACGCCATTTATAAAAGAACTAATGTTTTTACACTTGTTTCTTGATGGGGTTATCCTCACGTTGCAACAACTACTAATTCACACGTCATTGACAGAAGAAGTGGTATTCTTAAGGTTTTTCTTAAAGAACTCATGCTGTTTTGGCTATAATTTTGGCTACTAACTATCATAACAACGTCGACGACCATTTGGGATGCTTAACTCCTCAAAAATATACCTAAACTAGAAATAATTTTACGGAAAGATTTTATACCAAAAGTTTTAGCATTCACTTTGTGATTGGCAGTACTGGTGGAGGAATCGATACCGTAGTTTATTTTCGCGTGATGATGCTATCAGTATCAGGCTAAGAATAGAAGAAAATTACCTAACGAATACGTTTACCAAACAGAGAGTAGGTAGGTATACTTGAACAATATAAATGTAGAGACGGCTTATTTACCCTTAACTGACGTAGGATTGTGGAGAAGAATACATTACGAAAAATGGGGGATGAATGTTTAGATGGGTTCATTTTTCAAGTTAGGGATATAAAGTAAAGCATCGTAGCTAGACTACTACTACAAAAGTAGGTCTAAAAATGCTTTGCGACAGATGAAATATAGGCGAAGCCTCGGGCAGAACTGGTACTTGTATTAAACGTTATCACATGTCTATATTCATAGATGGATGATAATGTAATGTTTTTATCTAACCTTTGTGTAGTGGCGGCTGTCGTAAATTCTTTGCTGCGATTGTTAGAACTGATTTATTTATAAACTCCAACAAGTACAGCTGCTAAAAGCAAACCCAAGTAAATATAAATGAGGAGAAACGACAACAGCAGGATGCATTAGTGAAACGAAGCCATTCGTAAAAATAAGGCTCATACAGAACTTAAAAAGATTTTCCAATAGGAAGCAGCTTACTAAAGAAATCGTTACCTTAATGAGGGCTATTAATTTGTTCTTAATTTGACTTTACTCCTCAGTGTCGTTAATTGATACAAAATTTTAATGCGATTGATGAAAACGAGGACCATAAAGATCGGAAATGGAAAATTCTCTTTTTATATCAACACAAGGCCCGCGAAAATGATTGTTTATTCATATCTTATGGCATTACAGTTCCTACAGAAACTGTGTCTCTATTTATTGTTTGCTCTGAGATAAGTAGATTGCCAAACTCAACAGAGATATTTAAATTACATTATTTATTTTCGCTATTTTAATCCCATCACTTTACGATTATCTTTTTGGGAGAAGAAGGATTTTATATCATTGCCCCATGATGACTTGCGAATAGTTGCAGGTAGAGACCCCCCATTGCCCGTATTCACAAACATTACTATGAGGTCTCACAGTGCACGTGGACGCACAGAGTGACACGAACCAATCACAGAGTTTCAATCAACGCTGTGCATTCGATTTGCTGCTACACTGATAAAACAATAATTATTAGTGGATACCCAGTAAATGTTTTGCTCTCCTTACAAATGACCCTTGAAAAGAATAGAAGGAAACAGACAACAATTAACCTACGATTCGCCATGCTAACCACACGACGCGCGATGGTCGAAACGACCTTATTATCGCATCTAGCGCGCTCGCGCATCGTGAATACCTAAAATTTTCGTGGTCATTTATCTACTGGACGGGGAATACCTATCTGTCTATTCTTACAATGTTATGTAATGCTTCGCACAGGTACCTTTAAAAGTTTAGGTATTTTACATAAAATATCTAAACCACATCAAGCTTCGAGTCTACTTTATTGAGTTAACACAGACGAAAATAGTAGCTTTAGCCCGCGATATCGTCTGTGTTAACTCAATAAAGTAGACTCGAAGCTTGATGTGGTTTAGGTATTAATAAACATTTGAACATACAATTATGATCATGAAATCGAAAACGTAAAGTCGTTTTAACTGACTTCAAAGCAGAGGTTCTCAATTCGACTGTGTTTTTATTATAAGGAAGTACTTAAGTAGATTCAATCTTGACAAGAACATTTTACAAGATATCGATCACAACCCCAAATACATCAAAGATCCAACCAAAACCTACGCACCATACTATCTATCTATCTACTTACTATCTCTACATGATACACGCTTTGCTTTACAAGGCCGACATTGATTAATTTTCGGCTTCGAAATACAATAGTGAAAGAAATGATCGCTTCACTAGTTCTTGCTTACTGATTTGCTTGGAAGCCTTTCAGGAAAACTGGTATATAGGAAGTCTTTTAAGTTGTATCAATGTAACTGGTAAATGATTGATGCTAAAAAGCATCAGCCTCATCAGGTTAATTTTATTATTTACGGCAAAGCACTAACGCCTGTTTCCCATATTCAATCCTTGTCCAAATCTGGCGAATTAATTTTGACAGTTGACGGACGAATTTGAATTATGATTGAATACAAAAAACCATCTAATGCAAAAATGGAAGATTCGACCAGCCACACTCCACGCTAGTCAGACGGGGGAATGTCTAATGTTCGCATATTGTCCCTTAATAGCCTCTTACGACATCCAAAATAGTGAGAGTAGTCCTTCTATTCTGCCGTAATGAACATTATTATGATATTTGCACCCAAATTTCAGTTAACATTAAGGCAACTATGTAATAAATCTAAAGCCTGTCAATTGAAATCAGGATTTGTGTGCTCGACAAACAAAACCTCAAACGACCTCTTACAGGTCTTGCTTGTCTAATAATAACCGTAGGCTTTCCCATAATTTTCTTTTTATGTGTAAAACAAAATGACCCGTCCGTCTAACGCGACGTAGTTCACGTGTTTCATAGTTATTAAGGCGATTAGAGTCCTCAATGACCTTGGGCGTTTTACCTTCACGCCGCGAGCAACACCCGCGTACCCCGCANCAGCATTCTGAAGGCGTTGTTGTACTGCACGCGTAGCGCGCTGTAGGCTCGACGCGTATAACTCACCCACAGACCACTCGAGTAAAAGGACTGACAAAAAGCCTTGAAAAGGGTAATCTTGACCTCCCCCGTACATCGAGCGAACCTGCGTGCAAGCATATTGCTTCTTACCGCCAGCGCCCTACGCTCTCTCTCAATGTCCTCATCATCACTTAAATTTGCAGTGACTATATGCCCAAGATATTTAAATTTTTCAACATTTTTCAATATCGAACCATTCAGAGTTATTGGCGGCACATAACCTGGCGCACGCTTTCCCGCTTTAAATACAAGGATTTCACTTTTTTTGGCGTTGTACACCAAGCCATGGGCCGCCGCATACGTCTCACAGATAGAAACCAATTTTCTTAACCCACCAATAGAAGGGCTCAGCAGCACCATGTCATCAGCGTAGCTTAGGTTATTTACACACTGTCCGTCTATGTAACAGCCAATATGGATGCCACTGAGCTCCCCAATCAGCTGGTCAATGTAGAGGTTAAAAAGGGTAGGCGAGCTTAACCCACCCTGCCTCACTCCGCATTGAAGGGTATACTCATCTGAGAGTGCACCAGCCCACCTCACCTGGTTTTTTTGATGTTTATACCAAAATCTAAATAATTTAGTACAGTCTGCCGGCATACCAGCTCTCCCCAGTTTCTCCCATAGTAGGCCATAGTCTACCAGGTCGAAGGCTTTAGATAAGTCTAGGAAGCACGCATACACCGGCGTTTTCCTCTTTGTATAGTACTTGACAGTGTGCTTAAGGCTGAAAATGGCGCTTTCTGTGGACACACCTGGTTTAAGTCAAAGTTAGGTCACGTCAGGTGGTGCAACTTAGCCAAAGAAAAAATTCATTTTGATCGCTAATGTCAGTTTGCAGCGAGTGACACAACCTCCCCGTCTGAAGGCCAGCGGCCGACTGCCGCCCGCACCCCAAGAAGGCCCCCTCAACAGCAAAACGTTCGGAATTTATCAAAAGTAAAATTTATGAATGAAAGTAATGTTCGATTGAAAAACGCAACGTGTCATTTAAAGATTAAAGAATTCCCAATCTATTCGTGCAAAAATCTTTTAAATTAACATAGCCGTTTTGGAGGAGTAGGGAATTTAAGTAAAAAATCGATGTCCCGTATTTATTTTTTTAATCCAAAACAAAGAGACGTAGCGAAAATTCAAACGTCACAAATGTAGTCCTTGAAATGTTGTATAACATATATTTTTTTCAACTATTTTTGTCCAGCAGTAAAAGAGGAGTAGTCTTTACAAAATGCCCATTTGGCGCGGATTGAGGACACTAATCGCCTTAATCATGGAAACCTTGAATAGGCGGGGTTAAAAAACTCTGCTTCGACCAAAAACTGGTAAATTGATTTTACGATTCATTTTCAATTAAGATCAAGGTGCAATTATGTAGAGCAGGCGTAGTTTCCTTATTTTTATTTTAAAAGCTAAACAATATTAAAAAGAGTTGTCGCTTATTATAAACTAAAAACTACATGAAATCTATTTTCTTCGCCTGACTATTATATGTACATATGTTTAACAATGACTAAGGAACCTGATCAAAAGAACATCTCCTTTACGACGTTGACGTTGCGCGTGGGGAAAGCATGATAGAAAAATTATCCCTTAAGGCGCCCAAACTAGCTAATTGTGAACTCTATTAGGTACAATTTCTTTTAATTTGAAATGCAATCACTGTAATTGTAAACTCAATCTTTATGAGTCGGTAATGGATGTAGGTACCTACAGAGAGATATTACTCCAAAGTTGGGGTAAGTAAGGGCTGTGCCCTGCTTTGATTTGACATTTTGAAATTCGAAAAACGAGCCAATACAAAGTTGAATTCAAATTATCTAAAATATTTCGTTGGTGGCTTTAATTCAAGTAAATTCTACCAGTAGCATTACTTCTCAATCGCGACCAGTTTCGTTGCTACTAGCTTATTACGATGCAAACACTCGTATCGGGCACAACACATCCTAACCATTTATTATCGTCCTTGCAGGTATGCACATGCATACTTAGGGCTGCCAAGATGTTTAATCTAAGAAATCTTATAATATTAATTCATCTCACATATTTTTAATAGCGCATACGATTTTCGCAATATAAAAGAAATTCGAAAGCTAATTGGGTGGGTTCTTAATCCTTCAAAAATATGTTTTTAAAGAGAGCAATTTATAAAGAGACATAGGTAATCGAGAAACTAACTTTGTCTGAGTTTGTCTAGAGACAGACATAATCAAAATAATGCAAATGCGACTGTCTTACGTCCAGAGAATTTGGCTATTCCCAAAGGAAAGCTCAACCAGTAGTGAAAAGGGAAAACTACGAAAAGCAAATAGGTACCTAGCTAGAGTTCAATGCGAACTTTACGAGGACATTACCCGCACTTCATTGCCAAGGAATATAAACCTAAGTAACTCTAGCCATTTGTTCCTAGGCTTCATTTTATTTGACTGTAAAGAAAAAGCGCGCGTTTTTTACGAGCTTTTATTTTGTTTTTGCCCGGTGGGTCGGCTAACTAAAATCAAGTGTTTGACCATTTAATTCATAAATATATTGGAACAACGCAAATTGGGGTAAAGTTGTATCGTTGGACTAGTTTGGAATTTGGACCATTACAATATGAATTCTTGTACGAAAAAAACCGTTTGGAATTTAGGATACCTACACCTAAGTTACCTACTTCAATAACTCTTAAAAATGTTAGATTTTAAACTTTCGCGTTCCATTTCAACTAAAATAGAAAGACACGTTCTTAAAAATGTTGCCAACCCTAATAATAGGCAAACGGATATTGGTGAAGCAGTAACGTAATGTATAGTAAACATTCATGTATACAAATTGTTAGACAGTAAGACGCTAAACCAAATGGAAAAAAAAACTAGATCATTAGTTTATTGTTCCATGCACACCATAACTAATATCTACTTAAACTTCAACTAACAATTTAACTTAATCAAATATGTATGAGTATGTAGTAGGCATGTATAGATGATGTGCCTTTGCCACCTGCTAGTACAAAAAGTAATACCTACACCCAAATATTTTTTTAAGGTCAAACATGACATACTTTTTTCTGTGTTTACCCTACTTTAGATAACATTGTTATTGCTCTTTGTTACAATTATTTTCTAGTTATTTGCGGACTTTACGATATTGACTAAAGTACTTATTCTCAAGTAGACATTGAAGTAAGTCTACAAAGCACTAGTATTTTCATTTGAATGTCAATTTAACATGTGTTATTTAGTGGTTTATTGTGATGTGACTAGTTATTTATTAGCAACAATTAACGATAAACCACAATGATAACTGTAAATTGAGTAACTCTATTTAGTAAGTATTCATTGGAATCAACATAATTTCAAAGCAATTGGTACCAACATTCCGTTGGACCAATATAAGTTACCATTAACTTTTATTCTATTTATCAATCCTCGTCTTATGAAATCTAAAGAAATTACTAGCCCTTGGTTGCGAAAGTTTTATTTACACCTTATTCTTTGTGTGTGTATTGCGTAAAGTTAATCATTACACACAAATAACAAACATGTATCATTGTTTGCATTTTACCTAAACGCGGCGCGTGTTACAATTACGTTACTTATCAATCAATATTATTATCGTACATAATTTATATACTGGTTCATTGAACTCGTAAATTTAAAGTAAACGAACCTTCATCAATAGATCCGTCAGCCAATTCCTTACGTCCTCAGCTGCTGTTGTCGTCTCTGGCATCAGAGTGGACGTAAATTCCGGTATCATCGTGCTGATCTCCGGCAAAATAGTCGTCATGTCAGGGAAAACTGTGCTGGACACGTCCGAAAAACTCGACATGTCCGAGAAAGTCGTCGGCACATCCGATAAAATTGTCGTGAAATCAGGCACGACCGTACTGGTCGGCCAAAAAAGTAAGTCCGTCACATTCATTTTGGAAAAACGCGCGGTAAAAACGCAACCAGCCGTTCAGCTCGCGTTTAAAGACTACACTGCCACTGGCATGCTCGGCTTCAGTGAGAAAATATTAAATATTGATAAACTTATCATTCAAACATCAGATAAGTAAAGTATTTTACGCGGGCATTCGTCAGGGCTCAGTCGCAGGCGGCAGGGCGACCGAACGCTCGCGGCTCTGCGGTGCGACTACGCTCGAGGAAAACAAGGAGGCTTGCCGGTTACCAGTAAGTACTGGCCGTGAAAATAAATCAGACAGGAAAAAAATACTATTTAAGTCTTGAAAGCGCGCCAGAAGCGGTTAGACGCATTTTCTATTCGTCATAGCGCGATTGAAAATAAGTCTGGATATGTTTTTCTGCTGGATAGTCTGGATACATAGATGCGTTTGACGTCAATCGCGAAAATTATGTTCCAAGAGGACATTATAAATTCAGCCAAAACGAATTTATATCCAAATCGAATACATTTAATTATGGAATGGATGTTGAAAGAAAACTGTTATCAATGTTTCACATTATGCATGCTAAACTATGTATAGCTTTTTACGATTTCACACTTCAGTTAAGAAAATTCAAAGTTGTTTTCATTTTTTCAATCATCGTGATGTTAATACTATTCGTTATAGTAAAAATCATTGTTGCATATTATTATGTCGTAAGTCGTAACTTTTAAAATGGCAAGTACTATTATTACCATTTCAGCATCCAGTAAAAATCCAAATTATCCACTACCATTTCAATTTCAATGTCATAAAGTTTAAACAAGTTTCATAACATTGGTAGCATTCATGTTTATTTATTTGTAAACATGCATTTATAAATATGGAGCAAGGTCTTACGCACGGGTAAATTATCCGTATTATTAAGTACATAATTCAATTATAAAAATAACTACACCTAAATGGACGTAAATTTCTAAAGATCCCAGTTACTACTTTAAATAAATAATAATTTATTTACCTTAAATAGGTGGTTACAGAGTAGTAGAAAATTCCTTGTCATAGCTTAGAAAGATAAAAATAATTATTTAATTAGAGTAATGTACCACCATATTATTATACTAAGATTACGTCTTTTTAAAGTAAGTATAGCTAGAGCGTCATACATTTCGTTAGACCAGTTTAGGTTATTAGTTTAGTTGGTGTAGCTTCGAGTTAACAATTTACGTTTTATTTTCGTTGTTCGCAGGCAAGCATTCGTGCCTCACGCAATGCCAGCTGTTAATCATTCATTAAAGCCTACAATGCTGCCTAGACTACACTTTTGCCCCATTAGGCAGTAGTAAGTAGTAGACTAACCACTAACCAGTGAACCTTCAACCAAATTTTGTGTGGGACCAAGTTAAATAATATGTGAATCTTTGGGAAAAGTTCTCGAGTGGCGATCACGGGCCGGAAGACGTAGCGTGGGCAGGCCCCCCACTAGGTGGACCGACGATCTGGTGAAGGTCGCGGGAAGAGCCTGGATGCGGATAACGCAGGAGCGGCCGTTATAGAAATCCTTGGGGGAGGCCTTTGTCCAGCAGTGGACGTTATTTGGCTGAAAGGCACGAACATTTGGGAATGCTACCGTAAAGTTTTTCTCGACTTGGGGCACTTCCACGGGAATAGTAAGTTTACAATGAGATAACACTTCAAACTATATGTATAATCTTAGTTACAACCTAAATAAGATGCTACCTACAGAATATAGATACTTTGATGTTCCGATCGAGCCAGATAGAGGTGTGTACGTGATCTATTGCACAGACACAGTTCTAAAATAGTAGCATTTACGAAAAAAATTGCGCATTAGCCTAGGCGCAAACGACCAACATTTAGTCGGCCGATAGTTGGGCCCGATTTAATTTGTATGAAAATCAAATCGCTGTATTGTGCGCACTTACATATATACACTACTATTACTACTTGTCGGCCGTTTGGTGTAGTGGTTCAGAACGGACTACTATGCCGAGAGGTCCCGGGTTCATTCCCGGCCGGGCAGAAATTGAAATGATGAATTTTAATTTCTGTGACGGGTCTGGGTGTGACTATGTATAATATTTATGTATTTAAAAAAAAAGTATACAAGTAGTATATCCGTTAAGCTAGCACCCATAACACAAGCATTAAGTTGCTTACTTTGGGGCTAGCTGGCGTTGTGTGAAATTGTCCAAAGATTATTTATACAATCATGTCCATACCGATTCATAACAGAGTGAATTATTGAACACATTTAACAATATAGATTTCTACTCTATCTTCCGATTAGGTGACGAAATTCGTCGCATCTTCGAATGAAATACTAAAAGGCAGAGGGCTACATAAGGAAAGAGACAGATGAATAAAAAAACATTACAATAAAAGGAAAATCCTAGACATTGTCATCGAAAAATGGTGATGTGTTTATAACATAATTTTTCTACGTCTATGGCGGACGTGGAGGCTGGAGGCCATCATCTATTATTATTATAGCCCACAAGAGTGAGAGATTTGTTTTTTTGCATATTTTTTGTGTGGCTAAACCCAACGTGACGTACTAATAACTATAATATCTATTTAAATAGTAAATCCCATTAAATAGTTTTATGATTTCGTTGAACATGTAGCTGTTAGAGAACATTATAAAATTATTGATGAATTTTTGGAACGGACCATAGTCGATGCACGGTTTTTTGTTTTGTCCAAATTATGAAAAATATGTTAATATGGAATAGGTACTAATTTCCTATTGATTTAATGAACTGTTGCTTAAATCTGATTATGATCATTATCACCATGAATCATGATTATAAATGATACTAGGATGTTAATGCAAGATAGAAAAATGACGAATCTTTATCGACGTGTTGATGTGAAATGATGTCATCCACGTAAACCATTATGGTTGCGACGCATTTTGTCGCGAATTGTGGCCCATCCTGTAATTACGTTGCGTAAAATACCGAATAGGTATGGGACTTGGTTGGTATGGTTGCCGAAAAACAACAAGGTCATGGACTTCCCACAATTTGCCGTAAGTACACATAGTCTAAAGGTTAAAGCTCTATACATTACAGCCACATAAGACGCCAGTAGACTAAGAGCTAGTCATGTACTATCATATAAGCTAGGTATTAAAGTGCTACAGTTCTGGGGACAGAGCTAGTGAACGCCAGACCTATGTCATTTTATAAAAGCTGAAAGTTTGTCAACGAATGCTCCCAATATAGGATATAGTTTTTTTAGGGTAGCTCCCAAAGGCACGATGACCCAAACTTCATAATTCACCAACATTATATCCTATATTGGGAGCATACGCTGACAAACTTTCAGCTTTTATAAAATGACGTAGGTCTGGCGTTCACTAGCTCTTCGTCTACAGTGTTAGCTTAGCGTGCGTCTGTAGTATAAAATCTAGCGAGTCCATTTTGTCAACAGGTTAAAGTACAGAGGTCAGTCTAAATTATAGTAAATGGATTTATGATCGGTGACACTTAATCCATTCAATAGAAAAACTGGTTTATAATAATAATATTTTCACAGTAAGTAACGCTGATAGATAGTAGGCCTAAGCAACCAATAAATAAAAACACAAAAAAGCTGCTACTACATGAGCGATTTGAAATAAAATATATTAATATCTAGTACCTGCATACATAAATTCTCTTAACTCAAATAAGTTACCCCAATTAGGGTGGATTCGACCAAACAAGAGTAAATATTAATCTCAGAATAAATCGTCAGTTTCGACATATTTCCCATACTGAAACTGTCAATGTGCCAGTTATACCAGGAGTTATTGTCGGATAAAAGTTTGGTCGAATCGGGCCTTAGTAGTAAAAACCCCAAAGGCCAAAGCATTTCTAAAAATCATGATAAACAAAAATATTCCGAAAACAAGCGTCAAAACGAATTCTATTGATTCAAATCAGCACCTGTGCCAAATTGTTTCTTTGTTCCTAGCTGTAGGGATTTACCTGCCCCATGATGAGCATGTCACGACACCCGCATAAGAAATTATTAGTCATAGTGTACTCGTATTACATTGAATAAGTATACATTAGAGTTGCAGAAAGGTTGTATACGAAGCCACTAGAAGCAGGCTTCAAACTGGCCACTCTGGAATCCATTGGGGACCATAGCTTCAGCAGTGGACATGCTATCGCCGATGTTGATTATGATATTTGGATATGGAGTAGACGAAATTAATACTGTGAAAATATAGAAATTGTCCATGTTTCCAGCTCTAAGTAAATATTTTTTCATGAGTCCCTCTTTACCGTTTGTATTTCTAATGTTGGTTTATTGTTAAAAACGTATGTAAAAGTGCTCTGTAGCAATCTTAAGGACGAACTTTGTGATATTTGTTTTCATAAATAATAATGTATTGTAACTATGTCATTCAAACGACAAAGTAAATAACTTTTCTTTCAGTTGTTTTGAACGAAATTCAAGTCGACTCGGCGTTAAAATATTCAACAGCACATTAAAAGGCTACCGTAACTACCCGACCGTGAAGATCAGTCATTTCTATGTACTTATTTACCCTTTTTGCGTTTTGCGCAGAAGAAAAAACAATTTCGCAATAAAATAATAACTTAATCCTTTTTCAAATGTTTTAGATACTATCCCGTGCGCCCGAAACTTCTCCGCTCGATCCATTTCCACGGAAGCGGAGCAGGGAGATGTGGAAATAATGGAATCTGATTGGTTATTAAAAAAACTTCTCTGCTTCGCTCCGCTTTGGTGGAAACCGGGCCTTAGTCAAAACATATATAAATCCGTCTCGACTTCAGATGTTAATGTAGTTTTTATTTAGAAGACGTAAAATGCTAATCATTGCGACTTAATTATTTAATTCTACTGTGAGTCTGAAGTCTGAATCAGTCTGACATAATCGAATAAATTACGAATTAGACGTGGTTAAAATGCAAAATATTAAATAAGGATTTTTAACATTACTTCTATGAATTATGCTATGTCCAAATAAGCACACAATTAAATGCGTCCCCAATCTGTCCTAGAGATAAAGTGTCAGTCAAGTCAACATTTTCCTTAAGTACTTATGTAAGTAACTTAACCACATTGGGAGTTTTAGTTGGTGTCACTTAAGCAATCAGCATGAGTTTTCCCTTATAAGAAAACTTAAGCAAAAACATCTGTGAAGTAAATACAAATCTCAACAGTTAAGAAGAGCTTCAAAACATGTGAGCAGTGCACCGTACACGTGATAGTCCAAAAAACAAAGACAAAAAATTAAGAGTGCTTAACTTGTAAACTTTTTCAAAAACTTACAAAAAGGTTAAATACCCTGCCTGACCGACCACACAATTTTTCTATCAGCAAATTTTAATGTCGTCGATCGACGTACCTACATAGAACTGCCTTAGGGCCTTGCTACACTGGCGGTTTAAAAGCGGAGCGGCGACGCGGCCGAGACGCTGTGGATGCGCACAGCGCAACGTTTACGCCTAGAGTTGTCGCCTTGTGATCGCCGCGAAAAATGGGCGGAGGATAGCCGCTTTGAAAACGCTTGCTATCCGGCAGTGTGGCAGCTCTCTAAATACCAGCCAGCTGCGCTTGCTTCGCTAAGTCCTTTTTTTATACTTAGGTCAATTCGATACGTAAGCGATTCGTCAAAAAGATTTTCTGAGTCTACTGGGACCGTTGACACCGCATACATTTGTTGTTTGGTGAGTACTCTATTAATGTGGTACCTAATTTGTTAAAGTTCGTGACTAATGAGAAACTTTTGGTTGGACCAATGTGAAAACGTGATACGTATTGAAATACGCGTGTTAACACGTGCTTAACATTAACAAGCCTTACATACCTATCTTGCTACATTGTACGCCTATGAAATATAATAAGCAAAATTATTCATGGGCGTATTAAGACGTTGAAGAAAAATAGGCGTTAGGCGGTAAAGAAAAATTCAAACAAAATACATAAAATAAATATTCTGATACACAAACTTTAGAAGAAAGCTAATATAACCTCAGGAGAGTCAAATCTTGGTAGTTAAAGGTCATCATTCTAGTATGGTTCAGTGCCACCTACAGCTAACTTTTTACAAGTAAAGTTTAATGCTCCAATTTAACCTAGTGATAGTGATTTATCTCACTTTGTAGTAGAAAGGGGGGCACGCGTACGATAATGTCTTCCATAAGCGAGGTTTAGACTAGCATTAAATTAAATAGCCAGATAGTCGGAAATTGGCGGGATTCCCTCGATTTTTTAAGTCCTCCTGACAAAATAAAAAAGTCCTCCCGAAAAACAACTTAATTATAGTAATGACACCCCCCCCTCTCCCTGTACTTGGCTTTAATCAATAATGTTTGACCAATTTAATTTGGTAAGTAAATTAATTGTTAATGATTAAATAATAATAACATTGAAGATACATAATGTTAGTTGGTGTTCCAAAAATAACATTATCAGTAGATTTCAATATGATAACCATTCATAATCTAATTGATTATTTGTAAGTAATTTCGTCTACTAAATTAATATAAACTAGGTGTGTATCACATTGTTCAATAAATTATTTAGGCTACTTGATTTGAAGTATATTATGCCTGTGCATACAAAGTGAAACAAAAAACTCTCAATAAACTTATTAAAACTGAGCTCTGGTTGGATAAAGCTTATTTCAATTGGAGTGCAGTATTGTTATGTAACTCAGAAAATAAATGTGTAAACATTTCATTTAACAACTGTTCAGTTTATCAATACCACATTGCTGTATCCCACTTCCACTGTATGATTTCATCCCAAATAAAACATTAAAATAGTCCTGAATAACTGCTAATAAATGTGTTATGATAAATTGTGGGAATCCCTAATGTACTCTGATAATTTACATACACAATACATGAAATACAATAGGATAAGATTTTATATTGTTTCATGTAGATTGATATTTTTTATTTTATAGAACCTAACATTACAATGACTTACTGTAGTATTAGGACCCTGTGACGATGAAGGTGGCAATGGCGCCTGACCCTGGGCAGCAGTGAGCACCCATGTCGCAGCAAATGCACCCACCGCCAGGCAGACAGTCCTCTTTTTGAGCATTTTGGAGCTGAAATTGGAATAAAAGGTATTTAGCTCATTGAAAACAGGTGTTTTGTACCTTAACAGGTTATCTAATGCACTAGGTAAACAGAGGTAAATGCTATATTGGTTGAATTTTGTTTGAGGTTACCTAATATAGTTAATAGGTTTCTGATATGGAACTGCCTACCTTGTGTACACAAAATAGAAGTCCATCACGTAAAACTAATGGCCGAAACGTTACACCCATATTATCAGCTTTAACAATGCAATTAGATACGCATCCAGTATGTGTCGGGGAACAAACATTGGATACGTAATAAAATCGTTATCTTAGCTATGTAAACCGCATTATTTCGAGTATGTAAGTATCTAGGAAGTAAGATTTATCGAGTTCCTCTTGCTAAGAAACGTCACCTTTATAGAACGACGAAAACAATTTATGTAGGTACTTACATTTAAAATAAAGGCGTGCAGACCTTTTTAACTTGTTCTATATCGATAATAGTAACACTCACTAATAACAAACAGGGCTAAACTATGTAATTAAATTCATTCTCAAACGTAAAATAGCCAGCAATTCAACAAGGATTTGAAGGTTATCGTGAAAATTGACACAAGTTTGACAACTCACAAATTCTCCCGTTCTCCGTTTGTTGATTGATTTGATTTCTTTCTTATTTTATTTTTGTACTAAATTCTAAGTTATTTTATAATTAATTATTGGGTAAACTAAACTTTTATAAATTATTGGACCTTAGATTCTGTGCAATTAATTTGATAACGATAATTGCGTTTTGATATCGACTTCTTTCGCTGAAACCTATATTTTTATTTCTTTTGCTGGAAGATAATAATAAAAAAAAATACATTTGAGACAGAATTTTGACACTTTTAATTTGACATATGAACGATTGGTTAGTTTTTCCTATGTATTACTTTTCTCTATGGGTTAGTTTCTCTGTTGTTATACAAAAATAACCAAAAAAAATTAAAATGCCTTTAGATTATCGAAGATTTAATGGCCCAGAAGATAGCATACCATATAAGCGCTTCACAAAAAACTTTTCGAAGACATATAGTGAATTATACAGCGATTTATTGGACGAAAAAGGCTGTCGCAAGGATGGGCGCGCACTTGAAGAGGCGAGGAGCATGTGTATGTTTTGTATGTGTTTACTTTTAAATAAATAGTATACTGAGTGTTATTGGCCTCCTTAGGTGTATAAAACCAAAAACTTAAGCTTAGTTTCCGAAATGATAGTAGGTATAGGTTCAATTCAATCTAAAATTCTAAATTCATCTTGACAAAACTGAAGTAGGTAGTCGGTACTTACAGTGTTTTATGATAAAATAGATAATATTATGGTAACCAACAACACACTGTCAAAGCTCTTTCGTCATAATTAACATACAATTAGGCAAAAAACCATTCTACTTAAGATAAATGTAAACACTACTGAGTTGTTATGTTAGTTGGTACTCAATATAAATTTTCATCACATGCTGTTATTTTTTCCAGTTGCAAGAACAGATATGGTGTCTCAAGCCAAGGGTTCAGCCTATGTAGAATTGAAGAAGACAAAAGCTGTTTGCTCTGTGTTTGACCCTAGAGAAATACCTCATCAAAATGAATTCAGGTTTGTTTTCTGTACATAATCAAAAACCTATAATAATATATTTGTTTATTTATTCAAGGAAAATAATTAATGAAGCCTTATTTAAATCAAAATTTTGTCTATATTTAAAACTTACTTTTAATCCTTTTATCAGATATTGGTTTCTAACTTATCCTGTTTTTTTTTATAGTCAACTTGGCCAGTTGTTCTGTGAAGTGAAGTTTGCTCCGTTCTCATGTCCTCGTCAGCGACGAGGCCATGCACCCGATCCAGATGAAAAAGCTCTGTCAGTCGCCCTGAGACAGGCGTTGGAACCTGCTGTTTGCAGACATTTGTTCCCAAATTATCAGGTACCTACATTAAAATATTCTACATGTTTTTTTGATATAATCAGCGTTCTATGAAGCTTAACACTATGAGCATCATAAGTAGTTATACCACTATAGCACCCACATGCTAGTTTACTACATATCTTTGTAACTAATTTTGATTTTCCTAAGCGGTTGGTCACATAAGACCCCGGTAACAATAGCTTTCTATTGTCTCAATTCGCTGACACTTAAGGGCTACATTATGTACTTTTGTTACAGATTGACGTCTTTGTCTACATTCTTGAACATGATGGCGCCTGTTTGGCAGCTGCAATAAATGCAGCTGGCTTAGCTCTGGCAAACGCAGCCGTGCCCATGTACGATATCATCACTGCCTGCTCCATCGCAGTCATCGGCGATAAGATGTTTGTGGACCCAATCGAAGCTGAGGAACATTTGGCCATGATGTCGCCGGACACAGAAGGATCCAACCACGGAATATTAACAATGTCTATGTTATCAGAACTAAAGCAAGTCTCCGATTTTACTCTCATAGGATCGTTGGACACGCAATGCCTTACGAAAGCAATGGAGATTTTAGAGAAAGAATGTGAAAACATTGTACCGAATATACAAAAGGTGATAGTTGTGAATGTAGTGCAGTGCATCGAACAAAGGAAACGGTTAGAAGAGGAATCTAAAGAGAGAGAACAGGCTCTGAATGCTAAAATGGAGGAGTGGAAAAAGTTATTAAATTCTGGATGAAATTTAACATGTGTTTTATTTATGAACATTCCCCAAAACTGCTATGTTAGCTTTTGTTCATGAAATGCAGCAACTTAGACCAGAAAAGTGTGTTAGAGATTATGAAAATATCTTAACATTTTTGCCCAAACAACAATGAAAATAGGTATACTTTCTATAAACTAATAAATACCACACACTGATACTGTTTATGGAATTTATTACATCAAAAACGCATCACACACATTAACCTAAGATCTTTAAACTTAAAATTAATCTTCGGGCTTTTCTGGGGGAGGTCCGCACGGCTGAAGCATCCTCTCCATCAGATTGAACTTGACACGAGCCTTTGATTCGTTCTCGACGATCGCAAAGTAGCTCAGCAAATCTGGGTGTCCCATGTAACTGCAACACGAATCCCGGTGCTGATTCGTCAACCACTCGTATTTGGTGGTGTCTGCGTGACCCGTACCGATGTACTTGCTCTGCAAATGCTCAAGCTGGCTGTGTATGTTGTATCTTTCGCCCATTTTGCTGAAAAGAAGTGGCAGAGGTTAGAATTGAATTATGTTGGTAAATTAATGAGATATGTATGTTATGCACAACTAGTACTCCTTACCGGTATTATTTCTATATTTACAAGAAATAATCACTGAAATTACTACTACAGCCACTCGATTTGTAATAAAAAATAACAACAAGAAACCAAGCCAATTTTTTGACACTGACAGTCAGCTGTCATCACAGATTAAAAAACCCTGATATCAAAATTTAGTGATGTGAAAAAAAAGTTAAGTCGAAACAAAAATCTAATGATAAAATACGACTAGAAGCGTAGTAATAATAAATACGGGATAATTATACAAAATTATGTAGAACGTGATAAAGTATTAATATTATTATTGAGTGTTTTTAAAATTATAAAAGAGGATAATCATGGACGGTTAAATGATCATAGACAATAGACGTAACTTTACTTTTCAATGACAAGTGAGCGCCATTTTTAAATTGTTTGATCGATACAAACTTTCAAACAATATTTTTCTGAAGAGTTTTTTCTGGTACGTGTAATAAATTATGACTAGTGTAACTAAATTGAGTTCTCTCAAGGAGAGTGAAGAAATTTTACGTAAACAAGCGAAGAAGTTAGCAAGGCAGAGAAACAAAGATTCTTTTAAAAGACCAACTCATCTATTCATACATGAAAAGTGTTTGACTAACATTGTAAGTGTGATTTTGTTCTTTAACAACAAACAGGTACACTACACTACCTAAATAACGTTCTAAGTCATCACCAGATAAACGTTTTTTATTATTATCTCTTTATTCAATTTCCTTCTTATTTTTAATATTTTTTTTACAATGTAAATTATAAAAAAAACTAAAAATACATTATAAAAAAAATTCTTAAAAATAGTTAATCCGCTGGTAGCGGAGCAGGGCCCAAGCTACCGGTGGTCAGGGTCACAGGCTGAGGAACCTCCGGACAATGCGTGCCGTGCTGAGGATCACCGCCTTTTGAATCTGACCCTTGAGCCAACCATCTAGCGAGAGCTTCTTTAGATGTTGGTCGAAGCTCTTCGCTATTAGCCCGTTTGCCGAGACAACTATCGGGACAATGATCGTCGAGTCAACATCCCACATGGCGGTCACCTCGTGGGCCAAGTCAAGGTATTTGCTTTGTTTTTCCTTCTCGGCCTTCACGAGGTTTTCGTCATGCGGGATGGTGATGTCAACGAGCACTGCCCGACGTTGGGATCGATCAACCACCACAATATCAGGTTTATTACAGACAATAGTCCTGTCTGTGATGATAGACCGATCCCAATAGAGCAATGCATGACCATTTTCAAGAACTGGCACCGGCTGGTACTGGTAATATGGCGACTCAGATTCAAGAAGGCCGTACTTAAGCGTAAAATAATCGACAAAAGTGAAAGTGGTGCACATGCTGGATCTAGTCTCTGACTATATCATGGGATGTAGCCAGAGACCATCCCCAGCCTGTGCACAGGAGCTATTGCAGTTATTGGATAACGGACTAGGGTTATGGATGAAGGATGGAGGGACTGGTTACTGGGCTATGGATGGAGACTACGGGTCACCTGCCTGGTTCATAGTCTCGGACTGAAAAAATGGCAGGCGGTGACTAGCCAGCGACTAAATGGGCCCCCCCTGACGTCATGGGTCGTATAGACCGGACTGAGGGGCAACATTGGCGTCTGCCAGCTCAGGGGTGTAGAGAGGTGTGCTGCGCTTTCTCCGGAGTTACTCGCGGCGTTATGCCCTTTAACACTTCCACCCCTGGAGCATATAGCTCTAGCGACTCCACTCTGGCCGGCCGGTTAAGGCAAGCCAGAGGTGAAAGTCCTGCAGACCCTCTCGGATTCCACTTCGGCAAGCCGAAGACGAGGGTCTTGACCGACTCTCGGGAGCACTCGGATATTTTGCATTTTAATTGTTATCTTGTTATTATTTTAGCCTAAACCGAAGAATACAAGTCACATTATTTACGCATACTATCACAATAACCATATAAGCAAAATAGAAAACCTTGAATTGCTTTACAATCTTACCCATTTACACTTGCAATGGAACAAAATAACTAAGATTGAAGGCCTTGAAAAACTGCACAGCCTGAAGAAATTATACCTTGGAAATAATCACATTAGTGTGGTAGAGAATTTAGAAAATCTAAAATATTTGGAAGAGGTACACATTGAAAAACAAAATATGGATAATGCTGATGGTCTCTGCTTTGATCCACGGTCCATAATGTCACTGGGGGTAATATTTTTGACTTTTTAGGTCACTAACAAAATATCTTACAATGCTTTTATATTAAAGAGTTCAAAATGAAGATACGAAAATAAATAATTAATAACACTTTACAGCCTTCCCTAAGAATTTTAAACGTATCGGAAAACAAAATAACAGATTTGGCTTGGGTGAGGCCTTTACGACGACTTGAAGTTTTAATTGCAAAAAAGAATAACTTACAAGATCACCAGGTAAAGTTTGTTACGTCGAAATTAAAGAAAAATAATTCTTCATTTTCCTTAATTTCTGCTTTAATTTATTGAGTTTAACTTTTATAGAGTGTTGCTGATCATCTATGCACACTGATTTCCCTGGTTGATGCCAATTTTACTGGAAACCCAATGACTAAAAAGCATCGCTATAAAGAGACCATTATTGCAAGATGTTCACAATTGCGTAAGTCTATTTCTAGATGATTATTATTATGTTAGAAGATTTTTTTAAATTAATTTATTGAAATATTTTACAGGTGTTTTAGATACCACAGTCATCCACAACAACTCAAAAACATTTTTGCAAAGCTTCGACAAAGCCGTTCGTCTCCGTCAACTACACGAGAAAAACAAATTAGACATGAACCGGCGAGGAGTTGACGAGTTTTTCGAGCTGAACATGTTGCCAGGGCCAAGGGCTCAGAGCGCATACACTATATCGGAATTTACCAACGAAAAGCCCAAAAGTAAGAAGTTTAAAACCTATGCTTCCAAAACTCCATTGTAATTTTAAAGTTATAGCCTGACCAGGAACATAAATACCCTGGCATAGAGGCGCGTCAATTGCATTTGATAGTGCAACACTGAGTACAGTCGTACCTGTGTTAAATTAATAGGCTTACTTTATGTAGGTATCAGGATTTAGGATTACGGGCTAATTTGATATTTTCATAAATTAACGAAAAAAATATTATTATAGGTAACCTGGTTTAAATAAATTAAATGAAACCATCAATCGAGCTAGTAGGATTTATTTTATTATTCATCAATAATCAAATTCAGAACTTGAATATTCAACGGCAATGTCTGCTCATGAACGCATCAAACTCGGTACCTACTTCTTTCCCAATTCCATAAAATTCAACACTTAGAAAGTGACAAAAAAAAATTAAAATAGGTAGTTGAAACAAACCACAGCTAATTTTCATAGTGGACTGTACTATACATAGAGTTATTAACCCAGGAGTAGCAGCGCGCGTTTATTTCCATACAAAAAATTTCGCCATTTCCTGAGGGGGACGAGGTAATGACATTTGTGTAACAGCTGATGGCGCTGGGACACTATCGATATTTTTGTCGATGAGAATCATTGCTCTATGGTTCATAGTCTATGGTTTTTGTTTTAAATAATATGAATTAATTTATTATCATAAGGAAGATTCAATGTTTCAGATCTCTATTTACAGGAAAATACGCAGAAGTTTGGCATTTCTTCCTTAGCACCAATACGAATTGTGAAGTCTAAGAGTTACATGAAAAAAAAAACTAACAAGCCATTTATTTATGCAAGTAGGGCTTTTAAAAAGCAATTTAAAACGTCCCAGTATTAACCCTACCACCATTACCCTACTACTCATGAAATAGGTACCTAATATTTATACAGCGTGTAACCTTTTGATATCCCATTACTTTAAGGGTTTATTCTGTACCTACATAAAAATAATTTATAATGTCCAAGAATCATGTGTCCCAAAATGCATATTTTCGAAGATATCATCATTTTTAGTTCTTAAACTGTCACCGCTATGACTGGTTTTTATACTTGCGACGTTTAAATAATTACACTAGTACATACCACAGTACAGTAAGTGTAACCGTTCCAATGCAACATGCGCTTTTATTTTGTAGGAGATAAAGACGATTTTTAAGTCAACATGTCGTGAGGTTTATTCTTCGTTTGTATTATTCATAATTTAAAAGAAATGTAACGGTGTTTTACATAATAGTCGTATTCTTGGCGAATGAATTTGCATGAAAAATGAAAAAGAAATAATGAATTGAAAAATATTAACTATGCCATTCGATCCTATTATGTGGTCGTATTAATACCCTAGAGTTATGGGATATCAAAAAGAAATATTTAATTATTTATATGTTTAACTTCTGATTTGGTTTGTGAATTAGCTATTTCGAAGAATTTACTAGGAGATTTAAATCAGGAGATAGCAATACTACAGTCCACACTAAAAAGAGAGGTCGGCCCACAGAGAGCGAGATAGAGATAAGTAGGTATTTGACTCAAGTTTTTGTTCCAAGTCTGGCCTCCATTTTTATCTTTAGCTTCATGGGAGCGGAGCAGTGGCGATGAGCAAATAAGGGAATCAGAGCCCCGATTACGGTAATTTTTAACGTCAACAATCCAGACACGCTTCTCGATTCTGCGATACGATTGGTCGTTCAACAGCGTACGTCAGCTGTTTTGACCAATCGTATCGCAGAATCAGAAACGCGTCTGGATTGTAGACGTTATAAAAGTTACCGTAATCGGGGCTCTGATTGGTTATTTAAAAACTTTTCTGCTCCGCTCTGCCTTAGTGTAAACCGGATCTTAGAGGATGAACAGGAGGTGGTATTTGGAGTATTAATTCTCTTTCAATATTCAATATTGAATTTCGACGTTGAGAAGGGTAGCTCAACGTCGAAATTCAACTTTAAAAGATGGTATGGAACTCTGTTTCAATTTTCTTTTGTTCGGTTTATACGTAAAATTATTTACAGGAGAAGTGCGACTCTTACATTTTTCTAACAATACAATCACCAAGTCGATGTCGATATCGATATTTCATATTGTGCTGTACCACACTAAAATTTCCGCTGGGTGGCCAGCGTATTGAAATAAAAATGAACACTTTTGGGTTACCAAACACTGACCGTACTATGTAATAATGAAATAGGCAGATTCGACGAACATTATTTTATTGTATTAATACAAACGTTTGGACATAGGATTTATTTACATTAATTAATTAGTATATTGACCAAATAAAAAAAAACTTTCTTTTCCAAATACTTACTTCCTGCCAATAGGTAGGCAGTATCAAATTTTTAACATAAAATTTCGATTATATTCATAAGTACACTATTCTTAAAAATATTACAAAATTAGGAATTTGTGCTTTCCAGTGGCAACACTTCTTGAAATTTAGTTTTTTGCAAATTTAGTGTATTAATTAAAGTAAAATAAATAAAATAATATTTACTGATGGAAGGTAATATTGTCCTTTTCAAGATTTGAAGTTTCAGATATCTTTTTACAATAAAATACACTGCAATTCACCATTTTTGTCTCAGCACGTTACTCATCAATAGTGACATTTGGAATATGTCATTGGTGGCGCTGCAACTAGTTTTTAATAAACTGAGTGAACCACTGGTCTACTCACATTGCTAGAGGGGATTGCCTGTCAGTTCCACTCCTGGGTTAATAAGTCTATGGTACTATACGATAAACATGTCAGTCAATTTGACAACCTTTGTCGGAAACATTATTCAATGAAAATATTGTCCGAACCCTTAGTATTTCTCTTCGACAAATACTTTAACACATTGTGAACCACTTTTCTTTCACGACTATAAAAAGATTTTGGCAATTTAATTCACAAAATCAATTGCGCACATTTAAAATAAAGTTTGTTTACACTTTGACAGCAATAGACTGACATGCAAGGTGACATGTCAATGAAGTTTTCAGTTATAGATGAACTACACTGAAATGTCCCACCGACGACATTGACAGACGGGCGCCACTATCTTCGTTCAACTATAGTTCCAAAATACTGAACTGTCCTGTGCATGACATTGACAGTGGGGCGCCACCGTCAATACCGAATCGCTAGTTCCGATTTTTGCCATGTTGGAAACCATATAGTTGAACGATGGTAGCGCCCCCCTGTCATTGAGTTTGGCGGGACAGTTCAGCGTGGGTCATCTATACATGGTTTCCACCGTGGCAAAAATCGGAACTAGCGATCCGCTATAGACGGTGGCCCCCTGTCAGTGTCAAATAAAGGACAGTTCAGTGTAGTTCTACTCTACTGTTGCCATTAAAAGAAATTAGTACCATTAGTTTTCCGCAACATGGCGAGGGTTTTTATGTTCCTGGTCAGGCTATACCTACAATATTTCTTTTTTCTTTTCTAGTGACAGCAATCGATTCGACTTACACATTCATGCCACGTGCTTTTTGGCGTAACCGACCGGAACCATCGCCACGCGAGCCCGAAGCCCCACCCATGGAAGCGCCGCCTGAACCTAAGCAACCATCGCTTGATACCACTGTACCACCTATCAAGGGAATACTGAAGAAACCAATGCCAATGAAGTACTTGTCGTAAAAATATTGAACGTTATTACTATTTATGTTGTTTAGATTTAAATATAAATATAAAATTTTGTATGGTTGTGTAAATAAAGTAATGATTTGTTGATTGCTTGTTTTTGTCATTCTAAAGACCTATTCTACTTCTGTAGGCGCTGGCGGGAGCCCGCTTTGTGCACCCGCATGAGTTTTGACAGTGGCCATAACGACGTCGATTTAATTTCTTTTTAAGCCCGGTTTCCACCAAGACGAAAGGGGAAAGGAAACGTGAGATGTGTTTTGAATGACCAATCAGACTCCGTTAATCTCTCCACCCAGCTTCGGTGGAAATTGATCGAGTGGAGAGGAGAGGATATTTTGTGCGCGGCCTCTGTTTTCTGTAGAATTTCTGCTGACGATAGCTCACATCTCGGCTACATATAACATTTCCTCTCGTCTCCGCTTTGGTAGAAACCGGTTTCTTTATATGCTCAAAACAAAAAGTGTTTTATAAGACGTCTCTAGTACTGAAACACCTCGAAGACAATAATATTTTTAAAAGTCGATTCAGTTTGCCAGACACTTGGCTGCACTCTGCACTATAGTTTTTTTTTCTCCCTGTGTTTTGGAAAGTTACTGTCAAAGTCAATCGGTAAAAATTTTAGGTTATTTTCTAAGTGCGACGAGTGTAAAATGCTTAAAATTAAATAAAAATGAATAGGCAAATTAATGCAGCTTTTAAAAAGCTACTTGAGGAGACTTCATGTAGGTAATTTACAATGAATTGCAATTTTTTTTGGTAAATAGTAACTTTTAAAAATAAAATTGTTCTGAATGTTTGCTTATCAGTGTTATACCTTGGCGATGAAGTAGCTGAGACCAATGAATTAGATCCACTGCAGTTTCATAGAGAGTATGTGTCCAAAAATCTACCAGTTATTATCAGAGGAGGGTGCGCGTCATGGCCAGCTACGAAAAAATGGAACGCTCGCTATTTTAGGTAAGAAGTTTTTTTACTAAACTTTCACATTTGTTCGAGAAAGAAATGAATGGCCTTAATAATTACATACCAAGGGTTACCTTGTCTTAAAATATTTAAGTAATTGAAGTCTTATTGTGTTTTACAGAAACACCATTCCTGATAAAAAGGTGACAGTAGCACTAACACCGAATGGCCTAGCTGATGGCATCACCACAGACAGTGAGGGTGTGGAGCATTTTGTTTTGCCCTACGAGACCGAGATGACAATGGCCGAGTTCCTTGATTGTTTAGAAGAAAAAAGGTTAAACTTTTATTTATATAAAAAGCAGATAAATTTTAATATTTCAGTTGGAGTTAAGCATCAGCTGGGTGTACTTACACCCAGAGTAAGACCTAACTAAATAAGCTATTCTATTATCACATAATAAAAAACCGGCCAAGTGCGAGTCGGGCTCGCGCACAAAGGGTTCCGTAGCAGCAACAGTTAAATCAACCTATCTCAAAAACTATAAGAGATACTTTGATCAAACCAAAAATCGTTGAAAGAGTTAATTAGCATGCATCACCTCTATTTTTTTTAGAATTTTATACCCCGTAGTTATAAAAATAGAGGGGGGGGGACATACTTTTTACGACTTTGAGAGCTGATATCTCAAAAACCGTTCACTTTAAGAAAAATGTTTTTTAGAAAACTTTATATCATTTTAAAAGACCTTTCCATTGATACCCCACACGGGTATGTACATCGAAAAAAAATTTTCATCCCTCAGTTACATGTATGGGGGGCCCCACCCCCAATTCTTTTTTTTACTATTTAGTGTCATAATTTTGTAGCGGTTCATACAACACATATTCCCATCAAATTTCATCACTGTAGTACTTATAGTTTCCGAGTAAATCGGCTGTGACAGACGGACAGACGGACAGACGGACAGACGGACAGACGGACAGACGGACAGACGGACATGACGAAACTATAAGGGTTCCGTTTTTGCCATTTTGGCTACGGAACCCTAAAAAACCAAATGAGTTGAGTCCTCCTTTTGTTGTAATTGGTTAAAATGGAGTGCATTACCGCAGCAAAATTTTTATAAATGTTGTGCTTTAGAGAGTCGAGAGTATAGCAGATATTAGTCCATCGTGAGCAGAAATTTGTCCACTAATAGCAAAATTCGTTCAAATTATAGTTTTAAAGTTATTATGAAAAAACAGATTTTGCTGGGGTAATGTTTGAAACGTTACCCCAGCAAAATTTTTTTTTGGAAGTCGTTCTATCCCGGAACCAAATACATGGATAGATAGCTTTTGTTGCGTAGTAATTTGTCCACGAATAGCAAAATTTGTTCGTGTTCCGGTTCTCAAGTAATTCAGAATTTTGCTGGGGTAATGTTTTGTGATGTCCCAGATCTCGTAAATGGCTCAACGCAGAAGTTTGAAAAAAATACCAATGATAGACCTTGATATGTCCAAATTAGTTCAAACATTAGTCATTGATTTGAATGATAAGCACCAGTGTAATTAAATGATTTCGAAAATCAGATAAAACGGATTTGTGAGTAAACCAGTACTCTTACAATCGAATAAAAAGGTGTAGCATGTACCCTTGGTACACCTTTATAACCACAGTAAATATAAATGATGTGGCTTTGCGCAAAAGAGAGATTTCAAGAAATTTAATTTATTTTAACAGTCTTACTTTCGTGGCCGAATACGCAATTCCCTTATAACAAGGGAACATGGCATACAATGGACAAATTAAAATGTTCCTTGAATAAGCTATCCTGTTAATTTCAGCTTTATATTACGGCCTTAGATTAATAAAACTAAGTTAGCTAACTAAGTTTTATTAATCTAAGATTACGGCTTATACGAAAGTTATCGGACTGCAAAAAAATAGTACAAGTTTTACAAAACAATAAAACTTGTATTATTGAGCAGAGACGATGCACAGCATCTGGTGAGAGAGAGATGCGTCTACTTCCGGTGTAGTTTTTTACCTTTTTATACCTTAAATGACGTCATTTCCGCAATTATTTAATAGGAATTGATTTGACTTACTTCCGTTTGCCGCCATTTTAGTCACCTGGAGGCGAGCTTGCTCGGAGTTCTTCATAGAGAGCTCACCAGGAGGCCTTCTTGGGATGCTGTGCATCGTCTCTGCTCAATAATACAAGTTTTATTGTTTTGTAAAACTTGTACTATTATTCGGCATGTGACGATGCACAGCATCTGGTGAGAGACTTGTTTATTAGCTCCTGGTGACTACTTACCAAAGGCGCTATGTGATGAAAGTTTTCGAGTTTCTGTAACAGAACTAGATTAGAACATGATTAATTTCAGGGTATAAACATGTTTTGTTCTAAATGCCCAGTGAGAGCAGCACTAGCTAGCTTTAACACAAAGTAGGAGGGTTTGTACTTTTGTATGTTTGAAATGAATAAACTGGAAAGCTACTGANATATTTATACAATATAGAGATTCGCGAGAATGATCATTTGATCGAAAAGAGTGTTAAAACTATCAGAATCCCACGTACCTCGTTTCATCCGTTATGGATCTCGCCGGGGTCCGAGTTTCTCCGGTATCCGACGCTCTGGGTCCGCCTGCTCGTCGTCCGGAAGACACTCGTCCCCTTTGGCGCCAACCACCATCATGTACAAATGTCGTTTGCGGTCACACACGCGCGGTCAATTGCACTTTTTAATTTTAAACTTAGTATAAGAACGTTGAGAAATAAATTATTTCAGTAAAAATCTGAGCAGAGTTTCTGCTTACGATGTTGCTAGTTTGGAAGTTAAGGACGCTATGAAGAACTCCGAGCAAGCTCGCCTCCAGGTGACTAAAATGGCGGCAAACGGAAGTAAGTCAAATCAATTCCTATTAAATAATTGCGGAAATGACGTCATTTAAGGTATAAAAAGGTAAAAAACTACACCGGAAGTAGACGCATCTCTCTCTCACCAGATGCTGTGCATCGTCACATGCCGAATAATATCAGGAATTCTTCCATCTTGCAGCGTAGACCTTTAACTACAGACCTTAGACATTATTTTTATGAAAATTCTTACGCATGGTGGAGGAAGGGACGCTCTAGACACTCAAGTCTACAAGGAGTCACATGAACTCCAGTTTTAAATCCGTTGACATCTGCTGCATCTGCCATCTTTTTGGCTAGAAGATTCTTCCATCTTGCAGCGTAGACCTTTAGCTACAGACCTTAGACAGTATTTTTGTGAAAATTCTTACGCATGGTGGAGGAAGGGACGCTCTAGACACTCAAGTCTACAAGGAGTCACATGAACTCCAGTTTTAAATCCGTTGACATCTGCTGCATCTGCCATCTTTTTGGTTAGAAGATTCTTCCATCTTGCAGCGTAGACCTTTAGCTACAGACCTTAGACAGTATTTTTGTGAAAATTCTTACGCATGGTGGAGGAAGGGACGCTCTAGACACTCAAGTCTACAAGGAGTCACATGAACTCCAGTTTTAAATCCGTTGACATCTGCTGCATCTGCCATCTTTTTGGTTAGAAGATTCTTCCATCTTGCAGCGTAGACCTTTAGCTACAGACTTTAGACATTATTTTTGAAAAAAAAAACGCATGGTGGAAGGACGATGGAGACTGATTAGAAATTTAATATTTAAAAATCGTTTGCACGAATTACAATATTCCACATAACTGTACAAAACATTGACAGCTAAGCTACTAATTTGCGAAGTATACCTGTATGTATGGAGTGATCGCTTTTTTGTGACCTTTATAATTTGGTCGGCTTATAGAAGAATTCCTGATATTTTTTTGCAGTCCGATAACTTTCTTATAAGCCGTAATATAAAGCTGAAATTAACAGGATAGCTTATTCAAGGAACATTTTAATTTGTCCATTGTATGCCATGTTCCCTTGTTATAAGGGAATTGCGTATTCGGCCACGAAAGTAAGACTGTTAAAATAAATTAAATTTCTTGAAATCTCTCTTTTGCGCAAAGCCACATCATTTATATTTACTGTGGTTATAAAGGTGTACCAAGGGTACATGCTACACCTTTTTATTCGATTGTAAGAGTACTGGTTTACTCACAAATCCGTTTTATCTGATTTTCGAAATCATTTAATTACACTGGTGTTTATCATTCAAATCAATGACTAATGCTTGAACTAATTTGGACATATCAAGGCCTATCATTGGTATTTTTTTTAAACTTCTGCGTTGAGCCATTTACGAGATCTGGGACATCACAAAACATTACCCCAGCAAAATTCTGAATAACTTGAAAACCGGAACACGAACAAATTTTGCTATTCGTGGACAAATTAATACGCAACAAAAGCTATCTATCCATGTATTTGGTTCCGGGATAGAACGACTTTCAAAAAAAAATTTTGCCAGGGTAATGTTTCAAACATTACCCCAGCAAAATCTGTTTTTTCCTAATAACTTTAAAACTATAATTTGAACGAATTTTGCTATTAGTGGACAAATTTCTGCTCACGATGGACTAATTATCTGCTATACTCTCGACTCTCTAAAGCACAACATTTATAAAAATTTTGCTGCGGTAATGCACTCGTTAAAATGTTGTTACAGAAGTAATTTTCACTCTAGAGCAACACATTTGACACACTTTTTTTTCACAACTAGATAATAATTTCTAATGAAGTTTATATCTAATTTCACCATTCAGTTTATATTATTTATTTACTTTACAGAGAAAACATGATTCCCTACATTCAGAAGCAAAATTCCAACTTAACTGGGGATTTCGAGGAGCTACTGTCCGATATAGCCCCGGAGGTGGACTTTGCCAGTGAAGCGTTCAACAAGAAACCTGATGCAGTCAATTTCTGGATGGGAGACGAACGGGCTATAACTTCTAGTAAGGGCATATACAAAAAATCTCAGTAAAATAATCAGTACCTAGTATTTAAGAAAGTAACTCCACCTATGTCTCTTTCTTTGTTATGTTTTCATATTCTGAACTACTGATCAATCATCTTTCAATGTTCATTCAATCAAAAAATATAAATCATGCTAAAAGTTAAAGCATCAGAAAAGTGTCACTGACACATTCTGTGACACTGAAACCCATAGTTATATCTAAGGGTGCCTTCAAATTAGAGGCGCGAGGATGCACCACTAAGGTGCGCTTGCTGCACCACTCCTAATTTTCATAAAAATTCTAGATGCGCGGTTTCAGCGCCACTACCATTTGCGTGTCACGGTAGTAGTGCGCAAATGCGCCACAATGGCGCTTCCTCGCCCTAAGGCTAACGCCAAACGAGCGTAATTTCCGTTCGTTCCAAACGCTCAAGTTCCAACACATTTTGCGTCGTCGTAAACTTCATGAAGAACCTTTGTGTAGACACAAAAACGCGTCGTAAATTACGCTCGTTTGCCCTCAGCCTAAGACTTCATTTGTCCTTCCACAGTGCACAAGGATCCTTATGAGAACATTTACTGTGTCATCGACGGATACAAAGACTTTGTTCTCATACCGCCAACTGATCTGCCCTACGTCCCATACAAGAGGTACCCTCAGGCTATCTTCAAACATGACAACGGCAAGTGGGATATCGAGCCTTTAGAGGAAAATGTAGCAGACTCATTGGAAGAGGGTGACCAAGAGTTGGATGAGTTTAACAGGCCGGGGATTCCTTGGATTTGCATTGGTAAGTAAGTACTGGATTGTTAGATTCAAGTTCAAGCTTCATTGTGTTGAAAAACCTTGGCTCATTATGTTTGAAAATACCAAACTGCTTATCGTTTTAAAATTTCAACTGAGATAAATTCATTACTTCATCACTGGCTCACTGCTGAATATAGGCCTCCCCAATATACGCCATTTATCCCCTATTTTTATATTCAAATACTGAATAAAATTAAATAATCATGCATGCAATAAAAGGTCCTAAAGGGGATGATTCTCATGCTCAATACAAAGACTTTTTGTATCAACATTTTTTCGGTTCAAACAGGGTTCACACCTTTTCTTACACTTCAACATTACAACAATCTTTGAAATAGTTATTGAAAATGTTTACAGTTAAAGAGTTGCATCTCAAACTATAGATTTCCATTTTCGACTTTTTCAAGTTTTTTAAAAACCCTTAAAAATTGTCAGATCCCGTTAACCCGGACTACACAAAGCACCCCGAGTTCAAAAACGCTCACCGCTACCACGTGCGCCTAAACAAGGGCGACTGTATGTACCTGCCGAGCTTATGGTTCCACCACGTACGGCAGAGCCACGGCTGTGTAGCTACCAACTACTGGTATGACATGGAGTTTGACATCAAGTATTGTTACTTTGTGATGCTGGAGAAGCTATGCGCGTGGTATTAATTTTTTAAACAAAATTCCTGTTATGTGTTACCATAGGAGTCACTTAAAAATTAGGGATTGATGGTGAAAACGGGCATTAGACTCTTTGTACAGTAGCTTTAATTCAACTAAACCGGTCAATCGGCATAGGAACACCTGCGGGGTTACTCCGAAAAACGTTATCCAATATTGCGAATGTTGCCATCCCTCTCACGCAAAGCAAGATGCCAGCATGAGCGACGGTGACAGAAAGACTCGAAACTAAACAGCGTTTCGGAGTAGTCCTACTGATGAAAGACGATTTCTTGCAAACCGAAAGATGTTTTGTCTTTTTCTCTCGCAAACTGTAGCTGTGGTCGTTCCCAATGGATTAGTAAACAAGGGCGACTGTATGTACCTGCCGAGCTTATGGTACCACCACGTCCGACAGAGCCACGGCTGTGTGGCCGCCAACTACTGGTATGACATGGAGTTTGACATCAAGTATTGTTATTTTGTGATGCTGGAGAAGCTATGCGCGTGGTATTAATCTGTACAGTAGAGTGAGTCTTTGTACAGTAGCATTAATTCAACTAAAACGGTCAATCGTCATAAGCGTTCGGACCACGGTTCGGACGCCCGCGGGGTTAGTCCGAAAAACGTTATCCAAAGTCAGTGCCGTAACTAGCCTTTTATGCGCCCGGTGCGAACTTTCAAAACTGCGCCCTTGAAAAATGCTCTTGTCAGAAATTACCAGAAATAAAAAAAAACTAGCTTTCCGCCCGCGGCTTCGCCCGCGTGGAATTTTGTCTGTCACAGAAAAACTTTATCGCGCGCGTCCCTGTTTCAAAAACCGGGATAAAAACTATCCTATGTTCTTTCCCGGGACTCAAACTATCTCTATGCCAAATTTCATCAAAATCGGTTGCGAGGTTTAAGCGGGAAAGCGTAACAGACAGACAGACAGACAGACAGACAGAGTTACTTTCGCATTTATAATATTATAAAGTTGGGATTGGGATGTAACCTTTTTGAATAAAAAGTAACCTTCTACGGGGGGGGCGTGCGGAGCGATTGTGTAAGGTTGTTCATGGATGGAAAATGAATACAATTGATCATCAATCATTTACCTAAATTCGAAATTTTGACCATTCCATGAAGACCGAAAAGTGACCGGTCGTATAAAAACGTTTCATGGATTTGCGTTTCACTATCGAAAAACATTGGCTAAAACTCATTTTTTATAACAAATAATAAATCAAATTCATGTTTAAATGCAGTTTATGACATAATTTTTAAATTGTCACTATTAATATTTTTTACTGAATAACCTGTAAAAGTTAATTCTACAATTTCTGAAAAATCACCTAAAAGTAACCTTTTCATTAGTTTAACCTAAAAGTAACCTTTTCATTAGTTTAACCTAAAAGTAACCTTTTCATTAGTTTAACCTAAAAGTAACCAATGCAGTTCAAAAGTAACCTAAAAGGTTACAAAAGTAACCTGGCAACACTGCGGCTATCTGAATGCGTGATTCTCGATGTATCGGGGAATCACCGAACATTGGGTGGGACGGCGCGGCAGAATGGAACGTTTGTGAATCGTTTAGTTTTGTAAGTCATCCTTTTCACTCTTGTCGAACGATGCGGCTTCGCCCGCGTGGAATTTTGTCTGTCACAGAAAAACTTTATCGCGCGCGTCCCTGTTTCAAAAACCGGGATAAAAACTATCCTATGTTCTTTCCCGGGACTCAAACTATCTCTATGCCAAATTTCATCAAAATCGGTTGCGAGGTTTAAGCGGGAAAGCGTAACAGACAGACAGACAGACAGACAGACAGAGTTACTTTCGCATTTATAATATTATAAAGTTGGGATTGGGATGTAACCTTTTTGAATAAAAAGTAACCTTCTACGGGGGGGGCGTGCGGAGCGATTGTGTAAGGTTGTTCATGGATGGAAAATGAATACAATTGATCATCAATCATTTACCTAAATTCGAAATTTTGACCATTCCATGAAGACCGAAAAGTGACCGGTCGTATAAAAACGTTTCATGGATTTGCGTTTCACTATCGAAAAACATTGGCTAAAACTCATTTTTTATAACAAATAATAAATCAAATTCATGTTTAAATGCAGTTTATGACATAATTTTTAAATTGTCACTATTAATATTTTTTACTGAATAACCTGTAAAAGTTAATTCTACAATTTCTGAAAAATCACCTAAAAGTAACCTTTTCATTAGTTTAACCTAAAAGTAACCTTTTCATTAGTTTAACCTAAAAGTAACCTTTTCATTAGTTTAACCTAAAAGTAACCAATGCAGTTCAAAAGTAACCTAAAAGGTTACAAAAGTAACCTGGCAACACTGCGGCTATCTGAATGCGTGATTCTCGATGTATCGGGGAATCACCGAACATTGGGTGGGACGGCGCGGCAGAATGGAACGTTTGTGAATCGTTTAGTTTTGTAAGTCATCCTTTTCACTCTTGTCGAACGATAAATTTTCTATCTATCTCTAGCACGCTAGTGCGTCAGTAACGCCGCACGTAGTTAATGAATAAAATCAAAGTTAAAGGGAGGATAGTTACGGTATAGGTACTTTTGTTTGTGTATGTAATATTGCGAGCAAGACAAGGTGGATTTATATTTATCTGATGTGTCGTGACGTAATTATAATTAATTAATTATAGCGTAATTTTCATATTTTTCTCGAGTTATTTTGCAATAGGCAAGTTTTCTGTAGAGGGCCTAGATATCTACTTATAAATAAAATTAAAATTTGTAAATACTTATTCGGGGTAACCGTTTACCAATAGATTAGATATAGTTTATCAATCGTTTTATTGAAACGACTAGATTTTTGAGTCTGAATTTTATCGAAAAAGTCTGTCATTTTGGCACCTCTATGCGAACTATACGTACTATGTCTTTAGATGTATTTTTTTTGTATCATATTGTATATTATTTTAGTACACTAATATTGTACAGTTGTTTTGTAATTTTTAAATATTTGTTGAATAAAAGCTCTTCGTTTTCCAAAAAGGTATATTTCACTTAACAATCATGGTTAGAGCAAATGGTATTAAGCAATGCATAGTCGATGGCCGCCAGCATGTTGAAGATTTTCTACGTTGATCCAAAAATTTTACTCTCTGAAAAAAAGGAAACGCGAGATGTTAAGTTTCCGATGATATTCTTTACTTTTGATTATGTTGCGGGTTTCAAGACTAAAGCTATGCCTGGACTACTCAACCTTCACTGGTTGGGTTTCATTAGATGCCAAACTGTAGTTGCTGCCTATAGGTAGGTCATACAGTGGTGGGAAAGAGGATCTTCCACCCGGATTAGTCCTGTAGCCCTAAGATGTACGCTGGGATAATCGTTTATCACGCCATTTTATTGATCTTATGCGATAAGTCCATACATTTGTCGTCAAAAATCATCGATAAGATTTTATCACGGCGCGCATCCTACTCCATCCGCATACCACGATAAGAATTCATCGCAGCGCGTATCTAAAGGTGATGTAGGTCAGGTGGTTAACATTGGTCGATAGCGTACAGTGGGTCTAGTCAAAATGCCATCGCAAACCAATGGGAAGTTTTCACTAATGTCAGTCGCCGCGTCACCAGTGATTCGATTCGATCGGAAAATGGCAGCCAAAATGCACATTGAACCACCAACGACGCGGCGATATAAAAGTTCATTCAAAATCGAATAAAAGTAAAAAAATGTCTATGACTTTGCGATTGTTTTTACTTTTTCTAGCTTTTTTTTTTAAATTAGTTTCTTCCTTCTTTCTGCTCTCTGTTTACGTCTATGCTTCGCTGTCAAACTAGCTGTCAAAACGACATCGCGATACGGATTTGTCAAAACAGCCTTAGGGTGGGTTGCACCATCTTAGTTTAACTTTGACAAACGTCTAAAATCTGTCAAACTCCATACAAAAAACACCGGTTAACGTCATAGTTACGTTTAAAGTTAGGTGGTGCAACTCACCCTATTGGTTTTCGATCGAATCCAAGCTTATCACCGGGGTTTTAGTAATCGCAATGAAAATGGCGGGTGTTGCGATTCGATTCGATTTTGATTGAGTCTTAAATGCATGTTGGCTAAGCCTTTGTATGGGAAATTTCAATCCAGTCTTTCGATTATCGATAGGTAGGGCTTTGCGATTCGATTTTTTGCCGTTTGACTAAGCCTTTTTTGTTATCGACCTCTTTTGCGATTTGTTTATTTGTTTGCGACTGGTTTGCGATGGGTTTGCGATTTTAAAGTGCGTTTTGACTAGACCCGCTGGACTCTTTGTAATGACAGATGTCAACTACACATATACATAGTTCCAAAATACTGAACTGTCCTATGCATGACATTGACAGTGGGGCGCCACCGTCAATACCGGATCGCTAGTTCCGATTTTTGCCATGTTGGAAACCATATAGTTGAACGATGGTAGCGCCCCCCTGTCATTGAGTTTGGCGGGACAGTTCAGCGTGGGTCATCTTTACCACTTTTACGACAATGTTAGAGGATCTGTGGGTCTAGTCAAAATGCCATCGCAAACCAATGTGAAGTTTTCACTAATGTCAGTCGCCGCGTCACCAGTGATTCGATTCGATCGGAAAATGGCAGCCAAAATGCACATTGAACCACCAACGACGCGGCGATATAAAAGTTCATTCAAAATCGAATAAAAGTTAAAAAATGTCTATGACTTTGCGATTGTTTTTACTTTTTCTAGCTTTTTTTTTTAAATTAGTTTCTTCCTTCTTTCTGCTCTCTGTTTACGTCTATGCTTCGCTGTCAAACTAGCTGTCAAAACGACATCGCGATACGGATTTGTCAAAACAGCCTTAGGGTGGGTTGCACCATCTTAGTTTAACTTTGACAAACGTCTAAAATCTGTCAAACTCCATACAAAAAACACCGGTTAACGTCATAGTTACGTTTAAAGTTAGGTGGTGCAACTCACCCTATTGGTTTTCGATCGAATCCAAGCTTATCACCGGGGTTTTAGTAATCGCAATGAAAATGGCGGGTGTTGCGATTCGATTCGATTTTGATTGAGTCTTAAATGCATGTTGGCTAAGCCTTTGTATGGGAAATTTCAATCCAGTCTTTCGATTATCGATAGGTAGGGCTTAGCGATTCGATTTTTTGCCGTTTGACTAAGCCTTTTTTGTTATCGACCTCTTTTGCGATTTGTTTATTTGTTTGCGACTGGTTTGCGATGGGTTTGCGATTTTAAAGTGCGGTTTGACTAGACCCACTGCAGACTGAAGAAGACAGAAGTACTTATAGAATTGGTAAATGCATGGTGCCCACGCGCGCAGGTCAGCTATCTTGCACTGCTGGCTTTCATTGGAATTTAAATATTATTACAGTTGAGTAAAGTACATATTGATCATACCATAAGTCGGGGTAAATATTCGACCGCGGCGTTAGGTAGTTCTGCTAATTTTAACCTTATTGCAGCGGAATAAGTACCACAATGTCGGGGTAGATATTCGAGCGCGGCGTGACGTAGCTGTTTGCAGACGCCGCACGGAGTACATTGCAAGTGTAATTTAAACCTTACTACAGTGGAATAAGTACCATAATGTCAGGGTAGATATTCGACCGCGGCGTGACGTAGCTCTGCTTGCAGAGGCCTCGAGCAGAGTAAATACAAATGAGTATACGGCGCGCACGCACACACTGACAAAATTCGGCGCAACATCCCGCTGATCCACGCTAAATTTTGTCAGTGTGTGCGTGCGCGCCGCATACGTATTGGCGCGCTCACATACAAACCGCGCTCGGTGCGTTTCTATGAAGATGACCTACTCATTTGTATTTACTCTGCCTCGAGGCACCCGCTGCCCGAGCCGCGACAATTTGAACCTTATTACAGCGGAATAAGTACCATAATGTCGGGGTAGATGTTCGAGCGTGGTGTAAGGTAGCTCTGCTTGCAGACTCCTCGAGGTGCGCACACTCCGACTGCGTTACGCGTGACGCACGCACTTCCCGGCGTCCACGCGCGAAGCTCCGCTATTTTGCACTGCTCGTTCTTGCACAGGCGGATTGACACGTTTGCTGAAGAAAAGGACGTCTAAATTAAAATAAATAGGAGGTAAGTTTGGCGGAAAATAGCACTTGGAAGCGTTTATAAGCAAAATGGCGATCGCTAACCGGTAAGCACTCTAACTGTAACTGCTAAAAAATTAATGAAACACGTCACTCAATAGGGATTTTTTTTGATAACTTAGGTTAGCAAATATTAGAAAACGTGTCCTCGCAGAAAACTGCCGTAGCTATCGCCATTTTGCTTATAAGGGCTTTTTTCCACCAAACGCACCCAATATAAGGTAAGTGCCCCCTACTTCGGTATATTAAGGCACTTACGACTTTAACATTTTATTTAAAAATAACCAAGCATGATATCAGTATGAAAGCTTTTGTATGCTAAACTTTGGTCTTTTGACAGTAACTTAATACATAAATTATAGTTATATATTTTGTACTTTTTTTAATATCAATTGTTCTGTGGACCTCTTGTTTGGATCCTGTTTCGTGATAAAATTTTGCTCTGATTCTAAGTTCGTGAACTCATGTCCCCTATTTCGGGATAAGGTTTTATGGATCGAGTTATGATATTTTAATAATGATTAAGGGTTTAATAAATTTAAAAACGAAAATATACATTTAGAATAAATGAATTGTGTGAAATTAACGATATTACTTACCTGAAATATTTATGAGAAATATTGTGAGTCAAGCAAGGCAGGTACGTACTTACGTATAAAATTTTGATTTGTTAATTCTAGTTTAACAATATGTGAAAATATTGATATAACCATTAGAAATGTGGGGGGGGGGGGGCTGCCCCCCCCCCCCTCTTTCGTACCCGTGAAATTTTGATTTGTTATTTCTGACGATAAGTATGTGAAAATATTTTTACAAGCCATTAGAAATGTGGAGGGGGAGGGGGGAGGCTGGCGGCCCCCCTTCCCCCTAATCCCATCTCTGGACTTGCTTCAAGTGAGGGTAGCCCCCCCTGAAAATAACCCCAGATACGCCAATTATTCATAATAAAAAGTAAGTAATTAATACATTTTTTAGGTAGGTCAGTATTAAAAAAACTAAAAAATATGTCGATTTCTTTGATGGTATGTATCATAAAAGTACCTAACACTATACATTTATATATCACGAACTTGGAAAAAAGTAACATTAATACGGTTTCTTGTTTCGTGATATTGATTATTCCAAATTCCCCTAGTAAAATTCATGGATTTTTGTCAAATTGTGTCAATTAACTATTATCTAACTCATATATTACACAAATAAACAAAGATAAATAAAACAAATCGAATTAAAACCAAAATTGCACTGGTAGTACTTATGCTAATTTATCTTAAAATTGATCATTTATGTGAACTTCAAACTCGTGTCATATAAATTCTAGTGAACGAAACGTATACCGAATTTAGGTCATGAGAAACTTAAATAAATGCATTATTTGTTTCATAACTTACATTTAAATTATCATAAATAATTATTTAAAAACTAAGCATCAAAATGTTATCCATAATATCCTTGATTCGGTAGTGTCATGAAGTAGGGGACACCCGAAAAATTATATGTATGCTATTTCGTGAGTCAATTAATCGCAATTTTAAAGGAATTCTACGTTTTCTTTTAACTTTTTTCTAAGCCAAATCAATTGTCAAGGAACACATGAAACCACTATTACAAGTTTTATTCAAATGGGCGTTCCTTTGCCTTTCTATAAGCTTAAGAAGTTGGAGCGCTAACCTTAGGATGAGAGCAACCTTTGCACGCCGCACGGCTGTTTTTGGCTCTCTGAGAGTTTGAAGCTTCGTATTGCTCTCATTTTTGGCGGCACAATGTTGGTACTTGGTTTTTTAGATAGCTTAAATAATAGAGTTTTTGTAGTAATGAAGAATTTTTATAAATAATATTCCATTTGCTTATTATTTGAGCTAGAAAAAAAACTTACGAACTTACGTACTATCACGAACTAATAGCCGTTTACCTTAAATGGGAACACTTCAAATAAGTAGGTACATTTTAAAATCTGCCCCGCGTTTCTGTTAACGCCTTTTTACACAGATTCTTCTTGTACAGCCAGATTGTGAAGGTGCTATTCCGATAGCACGTGCAGTGGTTGCCATGAAATACAATAAACCAGTAATCCAGCCGCTGCATGTGAGCTAATGCTGCCGCAATCAGTAGTAAAAGTATTGGCGCTATGTATTTATGATGAAAGTCAAGTGAACATCAATTCTGTGTGCATTTTAGTTGACTTTCATAATCATCATCATCAACAGCCCTTTACAGTCCACTGCTGGACTATGAGCCTCCTCCACTATAGTGGAGGGTTTTGCCATAACCCCACGCTTGGCAGGCGGGTTGGAGATCGCATGATGCTTCGCAGGCAGATTGATGTTTTTCAGAGAGCGCTGCTGCCCGTTCTCTGTTTGATGTGTCTAGTCCTTAAGTCGCCTCTTACGACACCCGCGGGAAGAGTAGGGGTTGGTGACAAATGTATTCTACTCTGCCGTCACCACACAGCTTTAGTTGACTTTATTAGGTACTAACCTAACTTGTAAGATTACCCGTATTGCTTGGTATCAACTTCAGAGGATATCATATCCTAAGTATTCACTCAAAAAACCATAAAGTTTATAATCGCTTACGTCCTCTATAGTCCTCGTCCGGCCAGTTTTCGGGCAGCTTTGTGCCAATAGCCACCAGCTCTCTGGCGGCCAGTTCCGCTCCCATGCACAGGCCTCCGTTCTCTCCCACGGTGCGGTTCAACTCGCAGCATATGCTACACATGTTTAGGGAACCGATTGTGCCACCCTGGAAAATTGAAAGAGAAATGGAATGAAGAAAAGAGTTTATGCGACTTGGTAACAAAATTTATTGGATCGTCCACTACAAAGTGGGCAGGAACGCATTAAAGAAGGCGCTGGATGCACACCGCTATCTACTGATAAATATGGAATTATTTGCCCTATGTTCAGCAGTGAACGTTCTGTTCCTGAAATGATGAGCGATTGGTCGTTCAGACAAAAGTTGAAAGAACCCAATCGCGTGAGGTCACATATGCGCTGGATTGACGAATTGAAATTCGCAATGGGATACCGCGTGCGTAAGGCAGTGTGCCAACAGTGAGATCGCGGGAGATCGTGCGGAAAGCTGTATTCGCCTCTACAATGGATGTGGACACCTCAATGCCAATGTGACTACGACCGCTCTGAAAAGCCAAAAAACTGAGAAAAAGAAGAACATACCGGTCCCTTCTTCGGGTAAGGGCACTCCCCAATATGGCGCACTCGGCCGCATGACAACTGCCGTCTTTGAAGCAGCGCCCGTTAAGCCCGCCGCGACACTCAGTAGACTCGCTCACACATATGCATCGACGCATCTACAGCTTAAGACAGATGACGTCCATTGCTGGACAAAGGTCTCCCCCAAGGAGTTCCCTAACGACCAGTACTACGCTGCTTTATTCAGGTACTTCCCGCAACCTTCAATAAATCATCGGCCCACCTAGTCCTGCCCACACTACACACTACGTCTTCTGTCCCGTCCTCGCCACTCGAGAACACAAGCATATCATCTAGAATTCTAGATAATGTACTAGTGTCATACCGGTCCCTTCTTCGGACAGGGGCACTCCCGCAGCCCCAATATGGCGCACTCGGCCGCATGACAGCTACCGTCCTCGAAGCAACGCCCGTTGAGTCCGCAGCGACACTCAGTGGCCTCGCTCACGCATGTGCATTCACTCTCTTGCCGTTTGCAGTCCTGGAGGAAAAAGAGGATTAATTACTTGCCGTGAGGTCTCACAGTGTGCGTGGACGCACAGGGTGACACACGAACCAATCACAGAGCTCTATTCAAGCGTTCAATTTGCTGCTTCACTTAAGCAAGCATCGTTTGTGAATACGGGCGTAAAATTGTTTCAACAGGACTCAGGGCATATGACGTTGCTGTGTCGGAATCATGTTGATTCAAATTCAAATCATTTATGTATTCAGTAGTTAGGTCATTTCCAAGGCACTTGTTCACGTTCCAAATGTAGCTTGGACTACCATCACTTTGGGGCAGCATAAGGTCTGGTACTGAGATGAAGTGGCAGAAGGAACTCAGTCGTTTTATTATCTAAGAAGCGGAATTCCCTGACCCTTCCCTGGTAATGCCGAACATGGCCAAACACGAGCCACAGGGGCTTACGCTACAACAAACATGCGTGTTTTATCGAAAAATAAGGTACTTGATACAAATAAGGCCTACGTTCTAATAAGGCCCATACATCAGAAAACACAGATAAACAAATCCAACCGGGATAATACTTCAAGGACACGTACTCATATGCCCTACAACCCGGTAGAGTGCAAGAGCGTCCCGATCCACGATCCCAGCACCAATTGGCACGCGTTCTTCTAAGGTGGTGGGTGATTTCGTGCTCTCTTATAAAAATCTGGGGATTTCATCTTAAATTTTCGGTAAAATAACGCTGTTTTAGATTAAGCTTTTCTTAGTAATCGTTTCTAAATATTTCTTACTAGCTAATAATTACCTTAATTTGTACTACTGGCTATAGATGCATTATTTGTAAATTTTTAAAGACAACAAGAGCGAAATATCTAATAAGGCCTAGGCCTTATTTCAGCATGGTAGGCCATATTGGATACTTATGTCAACACCTGATTACGGACAAATTCATTAAACTAAATGAGTCAAAGAGTAACTAAATATTTATTTAATAAGAATGTTACTAACAGCACAGAAAATAAAAAGAAAACAGAGTAAAAAAAAATTACTAAACCTGTAAAAAAAAGAAACAAAATACAAAACCAATAAAAATAAGAAAAAAAAGCCGTATGTATAATTCTAAAGGATTAAAGCTGATATTATCATGCCTGTCTCGAAGACAATGTAGCAGATATGCTACCATAAAGGACTGCTTTTGGTGGTATCTTATAGATTGTGTAGGAGTTCGTAAAAATGATTCTGAAGCCTTTTTATGCCCTGGTTCTAACAAAAATTGAGATCTCATTTTATTTACAAAAAATCAAGACTAAATTATGTTCCTAAACTGATTTATTTAAAAGGTTTTATGTGTAGGCCTTATTCAAACACGGTGTTTTAATAAGCCCTATACAAAAAAATAATATTGTTTGTTTTTGATATTTTTTTTAATAATTTAAGTAAGGAATCATTACTTTGTTACTATGAATATTTAATTTTATCTATAATTTATGTATTATTCTTAATAAGTGGAATTTAAGTTTATCTAGAGATATACAGTATATTTCTGTTTACTTGGTATGTAAAATTTTGATAACGCAAACAAATCGACGTGTTTAATGTTATAAGACCGCATTTTGTTTAATACAACCTCAATTTTAAGGTCTACAGGCATTTGAATCATATAGGCCTTATTCCGTGTAGGTGATTTAATAAAGCCAAAATCAGTGGTTTCGTAAATTGCTTATTTTGAATAGATTTACTTAAAAATTGTGTTATTTTTTGTAATATTGCTAAAATTAAAGGATGGAAGAAGTTAATTAACCTTGTTTTTGTTGACTAGCGTTAATATTTATTGAAATATAAGCATTTAAAGTTAGGTAGGCCTTATTTATATCAAGTACCTTAGTATGAGCATACAGGACTAGGGATGTTCCGATACCACCTAAGTATCGATACCTACTCATTTCGATAATACTCAAATCTTTTTTCGATACTACTTAAATAAGTACTCCTAAAGTATCGATAGTTACTGATATCGATACTTTTTGGAACTTTTATTTTGAATGTTATGATATATTTGATTTTTTGGACTTTTACAATGGCGGAATGGCGAGATGATTTGCGGGCGGGTGCGGGTGTCTCCTTCTCTCTTTCGGCTCGGGCTCGGCTGAAGTCGGACGAATTCGGCTGGCCCAGAGCGAGACAACGCGTCACTCACGCCGCCACGCGACGAATACCGGTAACTCGGTAACCGATTAAAGCTGATTAGCTGACTGTTTTTGCTCTCTCAGTTCTGTATGATGCGTTCTCGGTTTTTTTTATTGTTTTCGGTTGTTTTGCTGATTCGATTCGATACCAAGTATTTTTGTTTCGATACCGATTATGTATCGCAAAATTGATTCAATACAATAAATACTTGGTATCGAATCAAAAGTATCGAGTACCTACTCGTATTTATTAGTATCGGAATATCCCTATACAGGACAGTGTGGGGTGGACGCATGAGATGGGTTTAACACGCGATCGTAGAAGTCTATTCTATTTAAAAATATCTTTTTTCGTCAGAACTACTAACAATACCGCTATTCGAGAGGTCCGCATACTGGCACTTGGAGTTGCAGCACAGTCCTTGGGAGGGGTGGCACACCGCAGAGGGCGCCACTGAGCAGCCTTCTTTATGTAGGGCTCTGAAAACACATTTTTGCCATCATCAAATCTGGATGTGACTGGTTAAAATAGTCAAGTTTTTTGTTAACAAATCAAATTATTGATTGACAATTCAATTCAATTCTGCCCATGGAAGTCGTAAAAGGCAGTTAGAAAGTTGCAGTTAAGACTAATAGACGATGATTATGAAGAAGAAATACGCTCGTATTCACAAATATTACTATGAGGTCTCACAGTGAGCGTGGATGCACAGGGTACCAATTACAGAGCTCAACGCTGTGCGTTCGATTTGCTGCTTCACTTAAGCAAGCGTCGTTTGTGAATACGGGCGATAAGGTCATGTCATTGTCATTATTTTCACTCACCCCTCATCAAAAACCAGCGCTCCGCCAGCTCGCGGGGTGCAGCAAGGGTCTCTGTGGCTGCACCGTGATGGGAGACCGCAGTCACATGCTTCGCCTTCTTCCACAATACCTGCAACAATTGTACTTCTGTATCATGAAGTGTTTAAAAAGTTACGTTAGATTGGCAGCTCATGGTTACTATACTCCATTAGCTACACAATAAATAACTCGAAAAGTATCCTCATACGCAGTAACTTATGCTGTTTAATGTCGCTGCTATTAGCTAGCCGAAGTTCACGCCATTTTCGTTCATCATTCATAAAGAGCTCGAGGCAAAAACGACCCTTACCATTACCGCAATAAGGCCTGTCTTCCTCTGACAGGCAGTAGCTCATGCTGCTCAGAGTGGCAGCTATGAGCCGCTTGCTGCACATAGAGAATTCGAAGTTCATGCCACTATCAGCCGCGGTGGACTGCGAGCCCATGAGGTATCCGCGGCACTCCGGGTTTGGGAAATTGTCGTCGTGGTGGGCGCCGAAACTGTGGCCTGTGGACAAAAGAAGTTCGTTCGTTCTTTTCAAACAAATGACGTTCTCTGACTGCTGGACAAGAGCCTCCCCCAAAGATTTCTTTAACGACCGGTCCTGCGCTGCCCGCATCCAGGTACTTTCCGCGACTTTCACCAAATTCAGCGGACAATATGTTCCGGATAGTAGAAGTGACAGCGATTCGCTGGTTCGGATTGGATCAATCGTGTTAACATGTTATGACAACAAGCACAAGAGATCCCAATGGGTCGACGTGTACTGCGATCATGCGCATTGCGCAGTTTTAGGGAACTTGTATACCTACAAGCTTCTCATTTTCTTTTGAAGCTTGCTCTGAAGTTTTGTGCCTGTTATTTTTTGTGTGCAGGTCATTTTAGTATCCTTTGCAGGAGTACGACCCTCTCCACTTTACGAGACTAAGTACCAGAGGCAATTGAAAGACTTGATCTACACCTCCCCACGCTAGCCAGACGGCCTGGGGAATAACAGTCCCACGCTGGCATGGGTTGGGGAGTATCATACTCGTCACCCTTGAAACCTGTTCTTTAACTGGTGTTTGCCTCACCCATCTCATGCGCCAAGGTTAAAGCGGCTATCCTCTCTGGCACGCGCTCCTTTTCATCAGACGTGGCGTGGGCGATGGCCAGTGTGTTGAAGGAGCGCCCGTAAGCGCGCCGGTCGCACAGCCCGCCCGCTGCGCCGCCCATGCCGCCACCGAGGGAGGTGAAGCTGAAAAACCATTGGCGTCTTTAGACGATTAACCTAGCGCTCTCTTGTAATAATAGGAGGCTTGAGGCCTGTGCGCCCGTTTAGGTAAAGCCGCCTCTAGGAAAAACGATGAAACATTACATCATTGATTTTAGTCCATGGACAACTTAACGATTTAACAGAGGTGTTCTATACAGTGTGAGTCACGTTAAAGTGTACATATGAAAATAGATGAAACTAGACCTATTTTTATCGACAAAAAAGAGGTCAAAAAATTTTTGAGATTTTTTTAAAATTTTTTAGAGAATTTTTTTTCTTCCAATTACTTGTTGTAAAGAAAACGTAATAACTTTTAAACTAAGCGGTATATCCTGATAAAATAAAAACAGTAATAATGCAAAATAACAGGCGATACTAAACTAATACATAAAATACACAAAAAATGCCAACAAATAATAAAAAATGATACTTTTTGAAAAAAATCTGCTTAAAAATTCGTGTTTTTTTGGTTATTTGATAAATTTCTCCTAAAAATGCCCCTATAACCGGTGGTTTTTATTACTTTCTATTATTTTCTATCGTATTATCTTTGTAAAACCAAAAATTGCATGTCTCTATCCCTATCACAACATTTGCTATGATCGTTTGAACAAAGGCCTGCCACAACATTATTCTCCGCTACAGGTGGAGACAATTTTAATTTTAACTAAAATGCTTATTTTACTTCGAAATATTTTGTTTTCATTTGAAATCTAACTTGTCTTTATCAAAATTACAAATCTAGAGCCATTTTCAGTTTTGTTGTTAACGAAGCGTTGAATGGCGCGCCCGGAGAGGCTTAGTTCAAACGATCATTGCAAACGTTGTGATAGGGATAGAGACATGCGATTTTTGGTTTTACGAAGGTAATACGATAGAGAATAATACAAAGTAATAAAAACTACCGGTTATGGGGGCATTTTTTGGAGAAATTTATCAAATAACCAAAAAAACACGAATTTTTAAGCAGATTTTTTTCAAAAATTGTCATTTTTTATTATTTGTTGGCCTTTTTTGTGTATTTTATGTATTTTTTTAGTATCGCCTGTTATTTTGCATTATTACTGTTTTTATTTTATCAGGATATACCGCTTAGTTTAAAAGCTATTACGTTTTCTTTACAATAAGTAATTGGAAGAAAAAAAATTCTATAAAAAATTTAAAAAAAAATCTCAAAAAAATTTTGACCTCTTTTTTGTCGATAAAAATAGGTCTAGTTTCATCTATTTTCATATGTACACTTTAACGTGACTCACACTGTAGAGTCGACCAAGAACTAGCCTGGGTTTGGTTCTTCCGCCTATACGCAGTACAAAGGTGTTGCGATGGGAGAGTTGAATGCAAAGTGGTTCCAAATAGTCAAAAAATAAGTACTTAGTTTACTCCTGTAGGCAGGTACATCAGTGTGGACAGTGAAAAACCATCATCGTGCGTGGTGCAAATGTACTATGAGTAAGTGGCTTTAGAGGTATAAAACCTTTAGATTTAAGATATTTCTGTTTTGCGAGTGTTAATATTCCTTTTACCTCAACCCAAGCGTCCTATTATGGAAGGCGTGTCCTGAGAAGGCGACTCCGAGACAGACTTCTGATAGGCGCCGCAGCCGAGCGAACCGCATCAGGTAATCGCGACCGTCGATGGAGTGCTCCTTCAGGAGTTCGCCGAATACCCGCATGTTGGTGTCTTCGGACGTTAGCACTAGGATGTATTTCACTGAAAAACCTAAGATAAAAGAAGATGGTTTATGTGCTATTGAAAGGCTTTTCTGTAGCGAAGAGAAAACTGTGAAGGGAAGCGTTTTGCAGGGTCGATCATACTGGCTGGTATTTGCTTCTGTCATTAAAATGACGGTTTTCTTTTTGGCACGAAAAAGGTAAGGTCTACATTGTATCATCTGTGAACGTTGAGGATTTTTGAGAAGGGGATTTTTGAGAAGAATTAAAATTCGAAAGTCAAAACAGCTGCAGTATGAAATATCATCTTGGTTTTACTAAACCATATTTATGGCGGCAACAGCCCCAGACATCGGTTTAGGCGTATGATCAATAAATTAGTAGTTCGATTCCTATCCCCATCGCCATCGCCTACTGAACTATTCGGGAATGTACCGTATCAAAAATTAATAGTTTATTTTTAAACGTATGCATTCATTAATCCACTTGTTTGCTCACCAATATTATCAGGCACCCCGTCCTCGTCAAAGTCGGCGTTCCTGAATATGATATCGGCCTGCGCGACCGCGTGCATCATCCTTCTCACCACGTGGTTCAGGCTTGCGTTCGCATCCTTCAAAATAAATTTATTTACAAAAATATGTGGAAAACTAAGGCTCTATTAGTTGGTGTTTCAAATGGAAGGTGTACCTAAACATTTTTGCCATTGGCGAGTTAAAAGTCAAACATGTCAATAAAGAGTAGGCAAAACACCGTCCAATAATGATTCCAAGACATATAACTTCTTTTAAAAGACACTTCAATCTAGTCCTGAAAATCGAAGTACTTTTCTATTTGCACTATATTTTTTGATTTAGTGGCTTTGTCTATTGAGTTAGCCTGGAGACCTCATAATCCTCTTTTACACACAAAATGGAGACTTCTGTTAAAACGCAAGTCATACAAAGTAATTTAATGTCTAAGGCTGAGTTGCACCACCTAACTTTGACGGTAACTTAATGGTAACCGGTGTATTTTGTATCTTTGACGTTTGTCAAAGTTAAAGTAAAATAGTGCAACCCAGCCTTACTGGTGTGTTTTAACGTCAGTTTGGCTGGATTCAGTGGGGAGGTTTCTCTGTTACCCAAGACCTGGCCATAAACAAAAGAAGAAAAATACTCAACTATCATAGTGTTTTTAAAATTAGAATGGAACCTTCTCGAAGAACTCCAGATCGGCCAGAAGTAGTAGGTCGCAGATCCGCGCACGCGCTATGCCAGGCGTCCGCTTGTGTTCTTCCATCTGGTACGGGAAGTACGGCAGGCGCTCCAGGAACTCCATCTGATGAGATATGAATTCTATTGTAGTAGAAATAAGACTTGGATTGGCGATTGGGCGCCTTTGTTTTATTATGTTGGCTGATTTGGTGAGGGCACATTCCTTGGTTATGCTACCCAGATTCAGTGTGGATCTCAGAAATTAAGAATTTGACCGAAATCGTCCTTAGGTCTGTCAAATTTTTTTACAAATGTACCTACCCTTTTTTGCTAGCCTAGAAATTTATAATAGCTTAAAGTTTTATCTCAGAACCAAGATAAAGCCTAGTGACTATTGCTGACTCTTTCTTAGTTTTAAGTGCACAGTATGTAGGTACCTAGTAGGTAGGTATGTACTTATCTCAAGTTTTATTCTGATAGATAAATGCTTTAGCTGGAGCATTTTAGTATTATAGAGTGATATTATTATATTTATGTTAATTATTATGTAATGTTAAAGAGTGACGATTCTAGACTGTAGGTTTTGCTATTGACGCAATTTTCCCTTTTTCGGAATGCACAAGAATCTGTTTCCACTATCGTACATCTTTTATCTATTCGATTAATGTAAAATAATGATCAAATTATGGAGATCAAATGCCATAAATCTTTTTGATATCTTTATCTATTAAAGCGTCAATACAAGATAGATACCATCATTAGTAAGTAGATACCTACGTAGTTAAGTACAGGTACTCTTCATTTATTAAATTTACTTAAAAGACGGTAAAAAAATAACGTTAGTCTGCCAAAATAACATGATGGCATCAAATAACATGATGATAAATGAGCATTATTACTTTCAAGTACTTATTTTACCTTTTAATTTGAAACGAATACCTACCTACTTTTACATATTCAAAGCCGAGTGTACCTATTAGCGCTTGTTTTACTAATTTACTTTGTTTTAATAACTTTTTTTAAAAATAGCTATGATTTAATTTTGAGTTAATGTCCTAATTAATGAGGTAGGATGACTGTATTATTTTACTTAACGGTCAATTAAGTACGCGTTAAGTTTGCATTAATTATCCATTAATACCGAGGTCCAAATGATGTCAGTGTTCAATACAGGTAGGTACCTACCTAAATATGAACACAGAAAACTGTAAATCACATAACCACAGAAAACTGACAAAATGTTAATTTAATTAGTTAATTACTAAGGCTAGGTTGCACCATCTTACTTTAACTTTAACAAACGTCAAAAATCTGTCACACTCCATACAAAAAGCACCGGTTATCGTTAAAGTTACGTTTAACGTTAGGTGGTGCAACTCAGCCTTAAATCAGTAATTCTACATTCGGTTTCATTGACTCTACTGTAACCTTATCAAAAATTGTGATAATGGTCTAGCAACCAGACTAGTTTTTAATCTGGAGCATCCTTAAAAAATCTAAGACGAAGAGAAGAATTACAAGATTTATGACTTTCATTCAACCTGTTGCTACATGATTTTCTTTTTTTTAACCTTCTTATTTGCTCCAGTCCAGTAGCAAAGGCATAAATAACTGTCATTCCACCTACAAAATTGGTGTTTGCTGCCTGAGCCCCGATTACGGTAATTTTTAACGTCAACAATCCAGACACGCGTCTCGATTCTGCGATACGATTGGTCGTTCAACAGCGTACGTCAGCTGTTTTGACCAATCGTATCGCAGAATCAGAAACGCGTCTGGATTGTAGACGTTATAAAAGTTACCGTAATCGGGGCTCTGATTTTCTTTTTTCCTTTACACATTTATTATTTGCTCCAGTAGCAAAGGCATAGAGCCTTTAAAACGTGTTGCTAGCTGATCTTTTTTTACCCCGCTACATCACTCACTCACGTATTAGCTCCAGTAGCAATGGCACAGATATGGATTAGAGTAGATACAGCAAGTTGATCGTCAAAGCGTGCCATTCCGATATGTCCAAATGGACATACATGGTCGAGTGATGTTCATGTAATCCGATTACAACAATCGGTTACGATGATTTTACGAGGACAGTAGTACGAACACGGTAGAAAGGAGAAATTATTTACGGATATAGAATTGTAATTGTTGAAATGATATCGTAAAACAATAATGNAGGGGTTGCAAGTCCCGGTACTAAGGAGTGTTACTGAATTACCGGTACCAGGTCTAAGCCAGTACCGGGAAAACCGGGAAATTCGGGAATTTCGGTACCCACGTGAATGGTATTAAAACAAATTACCTAATTTGTACGTAATTTTAATAAAAATGTGAATAGGTTAACAAAAATATTAAACTTTTTCTGTTCAGTTCAATTGGTCTGTTACCTTAATAATACATCAGTCAAAACAGTTACACAACACGACAAAATTAGTTATAAATGCCCATTAAAAATCATAACCGCCATATTCATAAAAAGCAACAATCGTTTAATCAACCTAGTATTTTCTATCAATGTCAAATACTGGCAGCGACAAGAGTTAGGGACAAAACATAAATTAACTAAATTAGGTTTATAAAAAAAACACGCTAATATAAGAAATAATAAGTAGTACCTAAGTACAATCAGATAAAATAATCAGTCTTAAAAGGATAGTAATGAATAGGAACATTATTAATATTTTTTCATTTGTTGATAGTGTGTACGTAAAAAGATGATGGCATCTAGTCAAAAAATTGTTATTCAAAAATAAATGATTGAAGTCCCGAAAGTACCGAAAGTCTCGGGAATTGCATCGTCAGTACCGGAACTAGATAAAGGATTAGATTACCGGGAATTCCCGGGAAAAATGAGTACCGGGATTTCCCGGGAGCAAACCCTACATCTGGCTTAATAGCAAATTACACTCTTTATCACTTTTATAATATAATATCAGCCCATAACCTGTTAGAATTAGTTTAAATGAAAGAGTATTTAGTTAACTTATTTTATTACGTCTTGCACAGGTCAGGTTACCATAGAGTAGGAAGAATATCCATACAAATGTCATCGAGTCTTCTAGCTGTCATTTACAATTTACACAGTATAAAAATCAATGACGCTAACATAAAATATTATTATTTCTCAACTTTCTTCATGTAGCTCGTAGATTTTCTTTTTTAGTTCGTGTATTGGCACACCCATCGCGTCAGCGATACGTTTCCACGAATCATTAACCTGAAAAATAAATAAAAACATCAACTGTTTAAGTTTTCTTATTTCAATTGAAATAAGAAAATACTTAACTAGACTACTGTTAAATGTCCAATTACTTTTACAGTAGCCTCAATAGAATGAATTAATTGAAATAGGTACGGTCAAGGAAATGTATTGTATTCGCGTAAGTACCTTTTTCACTCTCGTCGCAATGAAAATAAGATTATAATAGTCAAAAAGGTACACGAATACATTTCCTTGACTATACATACATAGATTATTAAAATTATAATAATAGTTTAGGTACCTACAACATTTTTATTTTTAGGGTTCCATAAACAATTTTCAGCTTGATCCTCAGTGCTCATATTGTTAGCCATTTCATAAGTTTTCACGAATGCTGCGCAAAGTAAATTAAAGCACAAGTACGCGTGCACATTCAATCGCAACTCCGAGCAAACTGATGCGTCGTAAGACGTGTGGACAGGACGCCGGACGTTCGCGCCAAAACCCTTTGATCCGTGCCACAAAAACCGACAACAAACGGATAAGTGGCAGACGCATCTGCGGACATTAAATACCTACAACAGACGCGCAAATTACCCCGTCTACACGTCGGCGGACGCATCGGCAGATGACGTCTGCAGATGCGTCCGCCGACGTGTAGAGGAGCCTTTTGGTGCGAAAAATGGCGGCTAACTATATGGTTAATGTGCCAAAATTGCGAGGCCGTGAGAACTATAGCGAGTGGTGCTTCGCAGCAGAAAACTTTTTAATGCTAGAAGGCATGAAGCATTGTGTAGTTCCAGTGACAGACAAAATTGTGGATGCTGCAGATGATGAAAAAACCAAAGCAAAGTTGATTATGACAATTGACCCGTCTTTATACGTCCATTTAAAGACAGTGCGATCATCGAAAGAATTATGGGAGAAACTCAAGCCGTTATTCGATGACAGTGGTTTTTCGCGGCGAATAAGTCTACTGCGGAATCTAATATCAATAAAGCTTGAAAACTGCACATCAATGACATCATACGTTACTCAAATTATTTATCGATACTGCTCAAAAACTAAGTGGGATTGGATTTGAGATTAATGATCAATGGACGGGATCGTTATTGTTGGCGGGTTTGCCGGACCGTTTTTCGCCAATGATAATGGCGATCGAGCATTCAGGAATGTCATTAACAGCCGACTCCATCAAAACCAAGTTAATGGACATGTCATCTCCAGAATATGAAGATAGTGAAGTGAATGGAGCCTTTATAACTCGTTTAAAAGTGAATGGAAAGAAAAATACGAGTTTGTCTATGGCGAAAAATAGTGGTCATGTAGGCAGCAGTGACAAATCAAATGTCAAAATGGTGAAGTGCTACCGGTGTAAACAAACCGGGCACTATCGTAACCAGTGCCCTTTAAATGAAAATTCCTCGTCTAATTCAAAGAAGAACAATAAAACTCAAACGAACGCGTTCAGCGCAGTGTTCTTGAGTGGAAATTTTAATAAAAACGAGTGGTATATTGATTCCGGCGCAAGCGTCCATTTGACACCAAATGAAAATTGTGTTATGAATGCAAAATACGAACAACAGAAGGAAATTATTGTTGCAAACAATGAAAAGGTGCCAGTTTTGTGTTCGGGCGATGCAAGAATTACGACAAAAACCGACGATTGCGAACATGAGATAGTGATAAAGGAAATACTTTGCGTTCCAAGTTTGACTACGAATCTGATATCTGTCAGTCAACTCATTGAAAAAGGAAACAGAATTTCGTTTACCAAGACCGGTTGTCTGATTTATAATCAAAACAACGTTCTTGTGGCATCAGCGTCGCTAGTAAATGGAGTCTACAAAGTGAACCTGTCTAACCGAGAGAATCTCGTCGCATCAGCTGTGTCGGCAGGAACGTGGCATCGCAGGTTGGGTCAT